GCCATTGTCTTTAAATTATTGACTGCTTTAGTACTCCTTATTTTGAAACACTTGGAACTTTGTGATAGATAGAATATCTTTTCAATGGCTTACGCATTTCTATATGGATCAGAACCTTGCAGTGCATGTCACGAAGAGCATTTCCAGTTGGCTGGAACAGAGTCTTGACAACAGCTGCCAACTTCACTGACTCCATACTGAAGATCAAATGGCAGGCGAGCCAACCGGCCAGTGAGAAAGAATTGTCAACAAGCGACTCTGAGAAAGAAACAATCAAGAACCTTCTATTGTTCAACAAATATATGAAGGGAAAGAGAGACGGATCGGACATACGTTGAGGAGACCTTTGTATGACACTGCTCGAGTGGAACCCCAATAAGAAACGACAGGTGATTTCGATGGTATTTGCCCCTTGTCTTTCATCTCTTCCAAGTCACCCTCGTACCAACGACCTCTTTTTCGCTTCTCATTTGGATTCCACTGGAACGATAGCCTGCACTGAGCGCGACGTCATTAGATGGCCTTCTCAACGCATGACCAATCCATCCCCATATTCTCTTACATTTCTGTTGAACAATCGGCTCTTTGGTTGGTATAATGCCAGTCATTGTTTCTTCCATCTAGAGAGCCATTTTGTCTTCATTATGGAGCCAGCCAAGGCAGTTGTTGATGAAAGTCTCTAACCTGTTGGGAATCCTTTCCGTGACGCAAACGTCACCCACCCATCAACATTTGCATATCAGTCTAATGAATCAGAACACAGGAAGGGTGAATTTTTTCATGAATAATTATAAAATTCCGCAGATGTATTTCTAAAATCAATTCCTCTACTGAATGAGACAGTAGACATGAGTAGACCAAAAGGGCAACTCTTTCATTAGATTATACTTACTTTGTATGCTGCCTTCACACCGCCATGATCCGATATGATTTCACCTTGCGTCAAAGCACCTCCACTCTAATAAATCAACACAAAAACATTGATAGATTTCTTTTGAAAGTGATACAATAAAAGTTTCCATTTGGCGCTACTCACATAGTGAAGAACACAAGTGTTCATATAAGTAGAAAATATTCAGTTATGTTTGTGAAAAAAATATCCTCTCAAGTTTGAGTTTCCAGTTACAAGGCGAGAGCTCGTAGACAATTCAGCCACTGGGACCTAACTCAATGATCAACCCATGAATTCTCACTTCTACGGATTGGTGATTTTAACGCGACTGATACCAGGCAGTGTCACAGGTGGTGAGTATTTCTCCTCACTCTCAATACGAATTAGCAGAAGTTAGATATTCATGTGTTGACCATTGAGGCGTCGTGTCCCAGTGGCTGAATGATCTACGAGCTTGAATTGTAACCAGAAGGTGCTCTGTTCGAATCCCTGTGGTGAGTGGGAGCATCTCATGGGTCCTGAACTAGGACGAAACAGGCGCCGTTCAGTACTCCTTGCTGATTTTCAGTGCTGCTCTAACTGCATTCAATCCGTTCGTCGTCAAGCTTGGAACGAATCGAATTTCTACACACTAATTCTTGAAAATTCATCGTCTACGGTATAATTCAATGAGATGGATGCATTCATCTGTTTCTCTGTACGTGTTGTGGTCAGTTAATATTGGGAAGTATCAGCCGTCTAAATAACACCTATTCTCTGACTGAGAAGACATAAATAAATGTGAGTGTTCAGCTCGTCTAGCGTGAAATATTTCTGTTCGAATTATTCGTCTAATATGCCACGCTTAAAGGTGAATGCTTCGTATCAATGTAGGCACCATTCGCATGTCTTCGGTTGGAGTCTTGCTTGCCCCTGTTCAGCCAGGGCAAAAAAAGAGCACTCACATAATAAGTGTGGCTTATAGCCAAGTGAAGGGTAACCGATACCCAAGTAATCATCCAATGAAATCACTAACTACCTAACTAACTAACTAACTGACTTACTGATTTCCTGACCGCCTAAGTAACTAAGTAAGTGACTAAATAACTAACTTGCTAACTAACTATCTAATCAGCGCCACCACACCATCTGTATTGTACCCTGTTATCTACTGTCTCTTCCATTTGTCTCTTTGACGTTTATGAAATGATGATTGTGACATGTCATCAAAGGACATATGGATACAACTGACCAACTCATCGATTCATTTTGGAAAAGTGAACATCAGGAAATGGATGAAATTGAAGCCCTGGACTTTGACTTCCTCTTCTTGGATTTTGTGCTGTCTCACGTGGTTCACAAGGTATTCAACAAACTCGAAAAACAAAACCACATTCAAACAGGTTGTTCTGATTCCTCCGGAGAGAAGAATCCATGTACGAGACCACCTGCATACAACTTGTATTTCTCACCACGTGAATAAATAAATAAATAAGCAAATATAAAAAGAAATATAATATACAAACGACCAACCTTTTCACTTGTGTATTTGTAATTTCTATGACGTTTACTCATACATTCTGTTTGCTTCAAGATTTCAAGGAATCCTTCATAGGATATAATGGATGGCAAATGTTCACCATTCTTATCCAACAGTAAACCTTGAAAGGTAGTGAGATTTGTTTAGTTCGTTTAACAGTAAAATCGAATGAGGATTACAGTTATTTTAAAAAGGTTGACAACACGGATTTGTATCAATGAGAGAACCATTGGAAACCAAACCATGGAGAAGTGGACGGCTGTTTCGACGGGATTTCAGACTAACAATCACTTGGAACTTATAGGTTGGCCATTATTAGTTAGGTCTCAATGATCTATGAGCTTGGCTTGTAACCGGAAGGTCCAGGATTCGAAGCCATGTGGTGGGTGGATAGGTGAGCGCTTTTGATGAGTCTGACACTAGGATGAAACAGTTTTGCACTACTCCATGGTGGGTTTTCAGTGCTCTTCTGACTGACATCAGTCTGTGTTTAGACTTGAAACAAATCAGATCTCTGCAAAGTAACTCTTGAAATCTTTGACAACTAGTTTTAATACAGCGTACGAACGTTGTCATAATGAAGACTCTTTGCAATCCTAGAACTGTGTATATATTCTATCTGATATCAATCACTATGTGAATGTGAAATTGTATTCATAATCTACATTCCTAGTGTGTATAATTGTTACTATATATATTTATATATACTTTAAGATGACCTTGAGAGACACTAATGACATTGATACATTAATACAGCCAACAACCAATAGGATTTCAAAGGTCATAAGTGAGGTGAGAGAAATATCAACAGACATGTAAAAATGACATATATAAAACTGGGTCTATAAATCAGAAATACTATGGAAAACTGAGCTGTCTTCTCTTGAAGATACTTTAAAAAATACTGTCTGCGACTATTATTATTGGCACATACGCGTTCATCAGAACATATACATTTCCCTCTGTTCTTGGCAGTTAACTTCAGCTGCCCACACGATTGTCTACAGGCTTTCCTCGCCTCCCCGACACATGAATGAAGTAACTCCCAACAGGTTGCTTCCCATTAGGATTCCACTGGAACGATGGCCTCGTATGAGATGTCATCGCCTCAACAGTCTCCTTGGAGTGTGTACAATCCATTTACAGTTTCTTCTAACATAATTGTTGAGCAATAGTAGGTTCACGATTGGCACGTTCTGAAAGCCAGCCATCTGATCTTCAGTATGGAGTCAGCGAGTTGAACACGTGTTGATTATAGTCTTCAGTGGCCTGTTGGACATGCTTTCCGTTATGCCAACGCGAAATTTCTGACCAATGTAGAAGAAATGACTAACTGACTTAACATTGATTTTCGAAAACCGAATTTCGTCTTCTATGCTGGGTTCCATGATGGATTTCATTCATGTAGTCGGACACAGTTCAAGCGATGGTGCATAGATCACTAAAGAAAGTGACGTCATTCAAATTTCTTCAACTGATAGTGATTTGTACCTGTCGTTTTCGTTGTTCGTTGGTTATCTTCATCAGCTCCATCTCCCTGATGTTCACCTGAAGTCTTCGTGTCTTTTCTGCACATCCCTACTTCCATCTTGTCAGTTTTCTCCTGTGGAAATTACACATTGCGGTTCCTGGATTCGTTTCTATCGCCTCAAGATGAATTCCATCCGGTCATTTCGAGTTTCTGGCCTTCAGTAGCCTGATTGCATTCAAGGCTTCTGATTGTGTTGGAGGATTGGTCTCCACTGAAAGGCAGTTCTGTTAGTGCTATCGTTGTTGTCGGTGGTATTTCTGGATGATTTGCAGGTGATGGTTGATTCAAGAGTCCTTTGAAGTGATCAGTCCATTGTTTTATTTGTCTCTCCTCTTTATCAGTTAGGCTCCCTTGACCATCTTTTAAAAATGCCATTTACGTTGATCTCTTCCCTCTTAAATGTTCTGATGTCTCTTTTACCTGTGACCATCCTGTTCTCCTTCATTTTCAAGTTTGTCGTAGAATTCTATTTCGTCTTTCCTAGCACTCTTCGTCTTCCTCACATCCTTCTTTATTCAGTGCAGTGTACACTGAACTCAGCTTCTCCTTCTGTTGTCCATCTGTGCATTAAGTAATCTTCCCTTTCCTCACCCACCTCTCTTCTCTTACATTAGCTTCAAGGTATCCGTTGAGGTTCATTCCTTGTCTTGTCTCTTCTCTCCTTCAAAAACGGATGTACACATTTGCCTCAGTATCACTTCCAAGGATTTTCACTATTATTCAATCAAGGTTTCCTCAGTGATGATAAATAATGTCTCTGATTCTCCTCGGGCAGCTGTAAGGATTATTGGTGTCTTTTGTAGTTTCATCCTTCAGTTTCTCAGTGTTCCACTTGAATTGTAGTCTATCTCCTGTTGCTTTGAATCGAAAATACTTCCGTCTATAGATTTTGTGTAAATTGTTTTATTGCTTCCTGCAATACACATGTAATATACACAAGAGTGTGATACTTAGTAATAATTGGTTTACATTCTCTAAACATCATTCTGTAAAAATGGTAAATCAACAAAATCGCATACACGACACACACACGCACTCTCTGTCTCACTCTCACGTACCTGTTGTGTCGACTGCATGTAACAGTTCATGAGCAATAACCCAACCTAATCCTCCATATTTCACTGAATCCTCTTTCCCGTCTGAAAAATATGGTGGATTGAGCAGTGCCGCATGAATGTGAATGCGATTATGATTGGGAAAATAGTAAGCTTTGGCCCTGTGACTTGCTATAAAATGCTCCAATCTATCGGTTAAAAGGAAAACATACAAAACAAAGATGAAAGCGTATAGACTGAAATGATTTTAGAGAATGAAAATATTTTAGACATATCTGAGCATGTATTAAGTAGGAAACAGTCTGCACAGACATTAAGTTTACGTAAACAAGACATTTGTCATCAGTTATCAGCCAGATAAATAGCATAAAATCATGGGAATTGTATGAGTGAGCGACTTCTAATACTGAATTTCAGAAGGTCTCTGGCACAGTTGACACCGAAGTAATTTTGAAACCACTTCACCACACCACGGAGGGCGACAAACAATTAATCAACCTCATTCAACAGCTCTATAACAGACAATGCCACATGTCAAGTGATCCACAACAGAAAAGTCAGTGAAGAAGCCCTCGAAGTGAAGATGGGCTGCCTGCTTACTATCACCGATGACACTCGTAATCATTGAGGATTGGATAATACGGGAGACTGCGAGCAGGGAGAGAGAAGATAGGAATATGTTGGACTGGCCGTTGAGAAGACTCCAGTAGATCTGAATTTCGGGAACGACTCATGTCTGGTGTCACATAAATTCAAAGGCTCACATGTGAGATTCAACAAATTGATAGAAGAAGCAAGGAGTGAAGACAGGACTTCAACTGAATATGGAGAAAATGCAGGTGATGAAAATCATAAACCAAACAACCAAGTAATCCCCATCAACTACAACTGCAAACCCAAATAATCAACGGAATTAATTTCAAGGCAGTTACTTTCCTCACACATCAAGGCACCGTTCCTTCAACTACACATCTAACTCACTGGATGAGATTGTCAAAACTAGCGAGAGTTGAAAAAGCAAGACATAGCCTCATGACTCAGAGGTCAGTTAGCAAATCCTCTGCACTCTGTGCGTCGGTGGCACAGTGGTTAGGACTCTCGCCGACCATGCACATGGTCCGGGGTTCGATCCCCTGCCGGCGCACACCCGATATCTATGGTCAGCCTGAATTTGGGCTACCGATATCCATGCTGAAAATTTCACACTTGTACTGAAAATACGGTGTGGAATCAAGCTGTAAATCAAAAAAAAAAAATTAACAATGAAAATCGGATTTTCAACCTCAATATAAAGTCAGTCAGTCCTTCTATATCCATCGGAAACTTGATACTCACGTCACGAAGAGCATTTCCAACAGGCTAATGATGACATTTATCAATAAATGCCTATGTCGCAAGCTTCGCATTGAAGATAAAATGTCAAAAAGAATTGACGACAAGGAAGTCTGCAAACGAACCAATCAGAAGCTCCCTACTGGTCAGAAGACATGACGAAGAAAATGAAGATAAATCGAACACACTCTGAAGAGACCATCGGTTGACATCTCGTATCAGACTATTGCTCGAGTAGAACGGGAATAGGAAAAGACGATTTGGGCGTGTGGCCAAGTGTGACATCTAGGAAATCGTCTGATGAGGAAATGGGAATTCATGAGTGGTATTGAGGTCAGCTGATGAGGACTACAGAGGAGTAGTCAGCATGGAGAAGTTCTTCTGAAGCCGTATGCTGCATTCGGAACCCATGAGAATAATAACAATAATTACATACATAAATATCTTTCACCAGAACTTTCAAATTCGTTAAAGACCATCTAAAATCAGGGACAGCTGTTCAGTCGCAGCTTGAAACTCTTCGGTTGTGAGTGCCTACAGTGGTGCAAGGTATCCGCTACGGAATACGGATATAACACTGCCCTCAACCAGTGCTTTCAGCAAACATTCTTTTTCTCCATGAAATGCTAGACTCCAGTGGCCACCAATTTGTAGTACAGCCTCAGAATTCACAGCTATCAATCATTTAGAAATTCATATTTATCGGAGGAATGTTCCCTTAAGAACTTTCACTGATTTCGATGTGGATTTCTGGGGATGCGTACTGCCAAAAAGTATCAAATTAGTACGAAGCTGCCGTTCAATTCTCCTTGGTTTTCAGTGACGTCTAACTTAAACTGGTTCTTGAAGAAAGTCCATAGTGAAATTAATCAATGAAAGTTTCGAAATTTTTATTCACACAAAAATATACATTTGTTTCCTCTGATTCTGTGTGATACAAAGCTCATGGAGTATTTTGTCTAATGAACACACTGGACAAATTGACAAATGGTGAGTTAGTTGAAAATGGCAAGATTCCAATGTCAACTACTAGTATGGGAAAATGAAGAGAGGAGGGTAGATCGTTGACACAAAACTTTTAATGTAGACAAAACACGTAGTTCAGCGATGAGGCTCTTTCCTTTGACGAGTTCATCTTCCTCGTAATACTGCGTAATCTCATTTCCATGCACTATCCATTTCATGAAAGAGAGTAGTAATAAAAGTGATGAGTTGTCACAAACGCAATTTTCAGTATTGGTCAATGCCTAAGACGAGTTGAGTAAGTATATTAGAGTTACGTAATAAGGTGAATAATCCAATGAATGAGTTGTAATCAAAATGTGCACATGGAAATAAAGGAAAACATGGAATTATGCAAGAATTCTAAGGAGTTATGAAAACAAACACACAAACAAACAAAAGTCAAGTCAATAGAAATCAACACGGTTGTTACCATAACAACTGATGTGGATGTATAATAATTTTCTTTTGTATGCGAAGCTCCAGTTTTTCTGTCTGGATGGCTAGAGCTTCAGTAATGCAAAGGAGACGAAATCGTATTGCCTTTGACAGGTCGTTCTCCTTCACTTTGAAGGAGAAGGAGTTTGTTGAAATGGACTGAACAGTGTTGACAGAGCCGACTCCAACTTTATGCATCCAATGCAGTAGGATATTGTTCTTGAAACATTTTGCGTCAAACGACGAATGTACTTGGCTCCACAGAAGACTCATTTGAGTGTAAGTCATATAAACCGCATGGTTCATTCTGGCACAGCTCCAGTGTTTATATTTTTCCCGATACATATTCCTAAGCAAACTGTGTCATCTAAATAATTCTTGACTTCTAGTATTTTGACTAACACGAAGTAACTACAACATATGGCGTGTGGTAACGGCAAGGTTTATGAGTAGTATATAATTGCAGATTGTGATAGGAAGCAACTAAAAATATAAACCAGCATTTTAAGTCACTGACAGTGGTTGTAGAAATAGAAGTGTTTGTTCCTCGAATCTGGATTTAGTTCACGATATGGATTTGGAATAACCTGTTTGAACAAATTCTCATGCCGTTGTTTAACCTTGGGCCAATCGCCCCAACTATTGAGAAGAGTTTATTGTCCTCTGACGTAGCCGAAAATTAATGTGTCTAAATAAGTATGCACATTATGCGTCTTTACCTAACAAGAAAGGTTCGTTACTAATTGTCTTAACTGCTGCGGTCCTATCTGATATCACTGCCTTCAGACAATGAAGATTCCAATGCCTGCTGCTGCTGCTGTCGAAGAAGGAGATAAACTAGGCTTCTTGTGAGGCTTCGATGCTGTCGATTCGTTGGTGGGAGTCAAGCTTTCAACGGTAAAGATGGTTGTGCTGGGAACACTTCTCAGAGTTCCGGCAAACTCAGCGTACTACAGCTGAGAACAGGTAGGTGGTGAGAAGACCTGGAAGGTGATGATGGGATAATGGGTGTCGAGGTTTGACAACCCAATGGACAGACAGAAGGCAATGCCCGACTTTCATATCACGAAGTTGCCACTGGACGGACACCTGCTAGTATTCACAGTGAAGCTGACAGGTCTACCTCATCGTGGACCTCCCCCAAACTTGATAAAGTGTGTCAGACGCAGAAGACATTACTCAGCAATTATGACTGGTCAACACCGCACAACACATAGACATTAGTCAGCCCACGAAGGTAACAAGACGCATACTTGGCACAATGGCAGTTACCACAGAGCTATCGAAATCGAACCGGGGGACAACACAGAATCGAAGATTTGCAGTGCAAAGTAGCCACGGCAGGTACGAATGAATGTCAGAAAAGACCAGTGCTGTGAATGTTGGTTTTAATGTTGGTCACTTCCTAACACAATCTGCATTTATATACTACTTATATATCTTGTCAGTAACACACACCACAGCATCATTCGTTCATTTTCCCAAACCAAGCCAATATGATACATCACACGTTTAATCGAATACCCCTAAACTCTTTAGTGTTATTATTAGTTTGATAGAAAATGGTTTCACTTTGATATAGAACAACAACAACAACAACAACAGTAACGGCTTACTGATCAGGGATACCGAGTAGAAAACCTCTCGAATTGTCCAAATATTTTGACTTTCGGGCAAAATGTTCATTCACGATGTAAGTGTCCTCGTCAATTGGATACTAGAAAATTGATTGAAAATATGAATAAATACAACAGATAGGTAGGTAGGTAGGTAGATAGAGAATGTGAGAAGAATCTGTAAATGTCACTCATTTTTGCACAAATTTTGTTGATTAGTAAATCGACATACATGATTTGAACATTTTAAACATTCTAGAAGATTATTTCCGTTGATTGAAAGCAGCGAAGCGCTCGGCCTCTGATGACGTGTCGTCTCCTTGTGCGGAGGATTAGTCAACTTGAAGTATTTTGGTGGGTGGTGACTAACTGCAGTGGAATTCACCAGGATGCGCACTTCTTCCTATTTGAAACTCGTCTTAGCTGGATGTACCTGCATTCCCCAGTCAGGGAGTGATTCTGTTCCACCCCCCGCCACCACCATCTCTGAGGCTTGGACCCAGTGACCTTCATTACTGACCATCACTTCAAACACTTTAGTTCAATGAATCAACGGGAGAATCCAAATTGTATTCATTTACAACTGATATCTATCACATAAGAGGCGGTAGCTCTTGTGCACCCTCCCCACCCCCAAGTGGTCTAGTGGATAACACGCTTTGGTGTTTGAAACGATGGGTGCTCTGGTATCAAGCCTTAGTGAGTTTGGAGGGGTTACACCTCCACTAAATGACAAGGCAATGCAGGTGCAAGCCCAGATCACGATTCCCTTCAGATAGGACGAAATGTGCATCCTGGAGGATTCCACTGCAGCTAGTTACCATCCACTAAATGAATTCTAGAAGATTGATCCAGTAGGCTTGTTACACCAATTGAAAGGATAGATGAATAATATTATTATTACTATAGCAGTATTATTCAGTCCCTGCCTTCTGAGTGGAGCATACAGGTTCAGCAGCACATCTCAGGTGTACTTGGCTATCAACAGCTTCGATCAACTTCGATTTGTTGCACGATTAACTACGAAGTCCCATTTCCTCATCTTCTTCCTCTTCTTTACATGATCGGTGCCATTATCATCCTTGGACGTACAGCCTATCAGTTGCCATACAAGGGTTTCATTCAACGGCTTGACGTGTGACGTCACTTGAAAGTCTTATCAGTGTCTAATCCACCCCCGTCGCCTCCTCTCTGTTTGTAGAGTGGTCGGTTCAAGGGTGTGGTATTTGCCTGTCACTGTTCCACTACCGTTTATCCTTCCTTGCTGGTCATCTAATCTTCGAGGAAACGAGCAAAAAGGACAGTCTACTGGTAACAACAAGCTAGCCTAGTGCGTTCCATTTACTACCATTAATGATATCCAGATTGTAAGCGGTTTGATACTAAGACAACTGCTCTTGTTGTCTACATATATAATTGGCATTATTAGAAAACAAACCTCCTCCACAGTTGCGCAGCTGGTTGAAAACGATGACAGAAGAATTTAGCAAGTCGGAGATGTGCTAATTCAGCCCTTTTTCACACTCACACAATTCTGAGGTTAGTATTTTCTAGTCTAATGAGTGTTATTATCAAATAAGTAGTATAACGTCTATGTCCAGTGTAAACTCGTTTCAATATTACTGATTATGAACAACAAGAAACAGCACTAATCACTATCAGCATGGAAGAAATTCGAGGACGTCACCTCCTTCAATTCACTTAAATAGGAAACATTCTTCTAACTACGACCAACTCTTCAGATGTGGATTTCAAACACAACCAGAACCAGAAAGGCAACTCGGACATTCATCACTCTGAAATTAGTCCGGAAATCACCCTCTCAACTCAGCACAGACAACAAAATTCTGATTTTCATCATCAAAGTTAATTCAGTCACTTCTTCCTTAAGGGTCAGAATCACAGTGACCGCTTCAGTGAAATCATTCGCAACAGCCTACTGTGGAATTACATCAACAGCCGCTTCTCATGCTGACTCCCAATTGAAGATTAGATAGCTGACTGGCTGCATACAATTATCCCTAAGAAACTGTGAGAATGACCCAATCAACAACCTCCTATTGCTCAACAAATATGTTAAATAAAACGGAGAGGGATCAAACATACACTTTGAGGAGACCAACCAGAGCATGACTCGTGCGAAACTTAACAAGAAACGACAGGCGACTTGGACGTGTGTTCAAGTGTGACATGAAGTTCGTGTGGTGAGGGTGGAAGAGATAAACGCTGATGAGTGGTAGTGAGGCCAGGTAGAGAGTATTGCAGAGAAGAGGGTAAAATGGAGAAGTGTTGTTGAAGTTGTATGCTATACTCAGAATTCAAGGGAACATTAAAAAAGAGAATTGTATTTCTCTGGAAATGAAGCACAGAACTGTTCACAATTTGGACTATAATTTTTAACATCAAGTTGTAGCATAGTCAGTCAATGAGTCAGGACACTTCTGTACTTGCCATCTCTCCATCAATTGGTTGTATTAGATCGAGTCAGTTAACTGTCTTCTAGAGTGTGAGCTGAGTGACAGGAAGTTTTCGGCATTTCTTTACTGATTGCAGTAAGTGTCTCTCGTAGACTTGTGTCTATGGTAGTGAAATTCAGGATGCATGCTTACCTGTAACAGGGAGGATACAAATATACCCATGTGTATTTCATTAATTCTATCCAATTAAAATTAACTATAGCTGCTAATCTCATGATGCGATTTTCCTGTGATTGGTGACGGTTCGTTGTCGGTTTACCGGTAGACTACACTGGCTAACCACGCACGCCACACGTGGTCAGGAGGTGAATCCCCAGCCGACTCTCTTAGTGAGCTGGGTAATAAAGAGGGGTGATTGGGCGTGATACTAAAGACCCCACTCCGTATAAAGAAAACAGACATCACTGCTATCGTTACTTCAAAACTCCAGCTTGAAGCCAACTGTGTTTCCCTCGGAAAGCAAAGGAATAAAATAAGTAATCATAAATACAGATGAGTGTTAACAAAAGATGATCTAACGAACACGTCGGATTTGTGTAGAAGTGAACCGATTAGACTTCGACCAAGAATAACAATATTATTATTATAATTATTGTTCCCTTGAGTTCCAATTGGAACACAGGGCTACAATAGAACACCCCGATTAACTTATTGCCAATTCTTCAGTGTGCAGATAGCGAAGGTGGCAGCTGTTTTGAAAAAAAGTCTACAGTGGCCTGTTAGAAATGATTTTCAAGAGGCGGACGCCAAGTCTCTGATCTGCATAGAAGAACTGACTGTCTGCCTGACTGACTGAATGACTTAACAATGGCGCTGCAAACCCGACTTGTGTTGTTAAATGTTGAGTTCAACGGGAAGACTTCCGGACTGATTTCAGAGTGATGAATGTCTGCCTTGTCTTTTTGATTCTGACTGTGTTTGACATCCTCATCCATGGAGTTAGCTGTAGTTGAAAGGATGATTCCTAGTTTAGTGAACTGAAGGAGGTGACCTATCTCAAATTTCTTCCATGTTGATTGTGATTGGTGCCAGAGAAACATTAAAACTCAACCTGAATACTCTCTGGTTTCATATAAAAATTAATCCTTAATATTTAACCAACTTACTTTATATATCAGAGATAAATTCTCTTTAAACTGTGACATGTTAAAGTCGTAGGACGAAGCGAAGACGGTGATATTTGAAATCTGAAGGAAGGAAAAACACGATAATATTGATTGATAATAATTTTATTATTCATATGAAGTGTGATCAAGATTTGACAGAAAATACTTCCACCAATAATTGGGCACCGAGTGAGAGGTTAACATATGCAAAAAAATTTTATTTTTGTCAAATTTCAACGAAATTGAAATTCTAATGTTTCGTTCGACAAACTCATCCGAACTTCTCCATGGGAAATTAATCGAAATTGAAATCACGAAGGATTTCATCATGAGGCGACTTCGATTAAAGAGAACCATTTGAAAACCTGAGAATACTGGAGAGCTGTTTCGTCCTCGTTTGAGACTCTTCACAGTACGCACTCAACACCACGATTCAAACCCAGGACCTTCTGGTTACGAGGTGAGCTCGTAGACCATCCATCAGCCACTGGGACGCGATCCAATGGCTAATGAATTCTAACTTCTCCCAATTCATGACATAGCGCAACCTTTTCGATATTTGGATCGGGCACTAGTAACTAGTGTGACGTGTCTAGTCCTTTCTTTGGTGCAGACTGAATTCTATCAGTCAGGTTTTGCAATGTGGCCACCATTCTAAGTAGCTCGCCATCACGGTGCACATTGATTTGATGATATTAGATGAAAGCGCTAGACACATCACACCAGTTCTCAGTGTCCATAAAAAGTATCCAATTCAGTCTTACGGGAGGTCAAACGCGAGCTGGAACAGTTAAGTGATAACGTCTCTGACTGCCGGTAGCACTGGGTGGCGCGGGTTCGAGTCCCAGAAGGGACATGAGTTCCTTCAAAGTAACTGCAGATACGGCTTGCTGACTGTTGAGTGCCAGCTAGCACGAAACCCAAGGGCAAGTAGGGCTTCCTGCTGATCGCCCTCAACCATCTAATTAATTTCCATGTTCCAATAATCTACTTGACGACAACCTACTTCAAGTTTGACCTCTGTAATTGACTCCACTCCCAGTCAGCATTACATGATATTTGTGGTTAATCAGACAGTCAGGCTCTCAGTAGGACCTTGATTCAGTCTCTACTAAGTGTAGTGCAACCCCCGATCTGCTTTCTAGCTTCTGCAGATATTGTTTATGCTCCTTTACTCTCACATTTATCTGTCCTCAAGTTTCGCCTGCACATATAGACAGCATCATAATCTCCACAATTTATCTGGTACACGCAATTCTGTTGGTTGTCTTCTCCTGTTTTATTCTTAACCATCACCAGTGATTTAGGGGGGGGGGTAAGGTGTTTGTTGCACCAAAATACACTCTTGTGACATTCATGTAAGTATAGAACTTGGGCACTGTGGTGGTAGAGTGTAATTCCATATTAGATAAGCTCGTTTTAAACATCACCTAGTAATGAGGCAATATTAACAACTGGATGACGTTTCGAGCACAATTTATTGTTGCTAATAACCATATATACTTAGTCACACGGCTTCACAGTTTACCATATGTATAGCTATTCTCTCTGTCTCTCCATCTTCCTCCTGTTGTTTGTTGCCGCTTTCCATATCTCCAGTATAGGTGTTGCGTTTTTCCGATTGCAATTATGCGTGGTGAGTCAATAAACATTGATTCAGTGACTAACCTCAGTCTGTCTCTCTCTCTACACCTGACTAAATTACTCTTGAATACGTTTACCAAGAACTTTCGTCTGGGTCTTTTAACGTAGCGGAGGCAATCATTCTCCATCTAGCTAAATTTCCATGTACTTTGATTGGACACTCATAACTGGTGTCATATGTCTAGTCCTTTCTTTGGTGCAGCCTAAATTCTATCAGTCAGGTTTGTAATTTGACTCTCATTCCAAGAAGCTCACCATCACGGTGCACATCGATTTGATGATATTAGATGGAAGCACTAGACACATCACACCAGTTACTAGTATCCATTCAAAGTATCCAATACAGTTCTACAGGAGGTCAGTCGAGAGCCGGAACAGTTCAGTGGTAAGGTCTCTGACTTCAGGCAGTACTGGGTGACGTGGGTTTCAGTCTCAGAAGGGATATGAGTTCCTTCAAGGTAGTTGCAGATACGCCTTACTGACTGACTGGTGAGTGCCAACTAGCACAAACTCTAGGTCAAGTAAGGCTTCCTGCCGATTGCCCCCAACCATCTAATAAATTTCCATGTTCCAATAATCTACTTGACGACAACCTACTTCAAGTTTGACCTCTGTAATTGACTACACTCCCAGTCAGCATTACATGATATTTGGCAAATTATATTATTTTCTTTTTGGTTAATTGGATGTATTGGGTGGGTCATTAAGTTGACGAAGTTTATCTCTTAGAGAGTCGGTTGTTTGGTTGGTTGGTTGGTTGGTTTAAATGCCACCCCGACTAATTCCAGCCTCATTGAGAATTCTACATAAGGCCTCTTCTGACGTTCCTTCTTTATACAGCAGTACTACAGGGGCTTTAAATTCCAAATTATTTATGGTAATTTCACTACTTATCTTATTTTCGCTATGGTACTTCATACATTTCTGAATAAATTCTGGTGGGTGGTTTTGTTGTTCACTAGTAATATTTCCTTTATTTGTTTGATTTCGTTATTTAAATCTTCTGGCCTACTAGTTAGGCTCTCTCCCGGAGCAGTTATATAGACAAATAACTAAACCAACCTATGTTTACCGATTCTGGATGGGATGAATTAAAGTCTAAGTATTTTGTATTAGAGTGTGTCTACTTCCCATGAATGCTAACCCACCGTGGAGTTTTCGTTTTGTTCTACAGTCTAGCATGACCAACTCACCCTGTTTGTTGTTTTATAACTCCGAAGTGAATTGGATCCCGTCGACTTTTGACTTCATATATGCGTGTGTGTATGTGTGAAGAACTGAGGGATATGTTCCGATTTCAACACAGTGAATGAATGTATCATCCACACACATATCTCCCACATAACCCAGCAGTAGGATTAAACGTTCTAAGAGCTTTGTGATCCCAACTATCCATAAATATGTCGGCTAATATTACTGGAGATATTGGTGATTGATGCCATCGCCAACCTATTCCTCGGATCATACAGTACATTTTGAAATTGGAATTACACCCCCCAACTATGTCATGATAATTATAGAAATCATTTCATCATTAGTTAATGTTATGTAATCATAATTAAGTAAAATTATGACTGACCTTATCTATAGCAAATTTCTTCGTCCTCTTATTCAACCAAGTAACTTCTTCGATCGAACTATACAGAGCTTCCTTTATTTCTTTGACCATATTGACCACCTGAGGTGAAAAGAAAGGAAACATAATTACGGTGTGCAGTATACGAACGATATCATTGAAGTTCTTGACTGAAGAGGTTGGAAAAATGAAGAAGCCTGCAGATGATTGCATTACTCAAAAGCCTAATAATTGTATTAAAAGAATATTCACTGAGTTGCATCTTCACGGATATATTCTGTATTCACCGAGTAACAAAGAAGACTGGTAGGACTTTGAACAGATGCCCATTTATTGAAAGCCTACGTGGAGAGACCTGTTGACAAACGCTCAAAAGTTCGGCGGTCATTAATCACAATCGAAACCTAATAATACATCTCTTGCGACTGGAATCCGAAGAATCAGCATCCGCAAATCGGTAGAAGTCAACACTTGATGAGAATCGCTACCTCCGTGACTCCCACGCTCGATTTATAAATAAACACACAAAACGAAGAGAAACCAACACAGAACACCTCAGCTGTGTGCTGAAGAAGATGCTATACATGAATGTGTCGTTCGAATGCGACTTTCTGGCCCAACGACGTGTAAAGAACATTGTTTGCCGCTACGCTATGATTGGTATTCTCTTTCCCTCGCTCACTGTTCTTCAACAACTTCAAAGATAAACTACCGCATTAAACAATCTCTCTGTGTGTATCTACCAATTCACTTGCTCATGTGCAGTGAGCGAGATATATAGGTCGGTGTTCTAAAAAGAGTCAAACAACATCATCCTGCTTGGCTAGGACAGGATACCAATGAATCAATACGGAATGCTCTCATTGAACATATATTCTCAACACTGGTCATTACTCACTATGCAGGGAGACAATTCTTTCAAAGTTATCTACAAGGTCACAAGAAGCCTCGGGAAAACGGCAAGCATCCATAGATTTTGCATTGTCAATGCCTTAGCAATTCGGATGCAAAATCCTGATTTATGCATACACAGAAAAGACTTCTCCATCTCCTATTTTTATTATTATTATTTCCTTTAATTCCTAGAGGAACATAGGGCTTCAGCAGCGTGTTTCCATTGCGTTCGGTTCTCTGCTAGAGTCTTCACCTGGCTCCAAGTCTGCCCACACGTTTTCATCTCCTCTTCACATGACCTCCTCCAAGTCACCCACTCTTGCACTGACGACCAACTCGCCGCTTCCCTTTCGGGTTCCACTCGAGCAATGGCTTGTCTAGTGATGTCACTTGATGGTTTCCTCAGAGTATGGCCAATCCATCTCCATTTCTTCCTGCCTATTTGTTTCACAATCGGTTCCTGGTTGGTTGGCTCATTGCCAGAGATCCCTGTTGCTGATCTTTTCTGGCCGGCCATCTGATCTTGAGTATTGAGCGAAGACAACTGTTAATGAAGGTCTGTAGTTTGTTTGAGATGCTCTTTATGACACGCAGTGCAAGTCTCTGATCCGTATAGCATAGCACTGACTTCACATTGGACTTCTATCTTGGGTATAATTCCATGTTCACCTGTTATCGCTATCTTGTTATTGACTATATTTTGTGAATTTTTCGTATGACGTATCTACTTAATCTTTTCACCTATCACATAATTTATTTTGGTCACTTGTCTTCATGCTCTTTGAGTGATATTCAGTTATTTCTGAACTTTTTTCACATTACGTAACCCTAGGGGAAACTTATCAATCTTCACTTCCCCTCCCTTTAATCACATTTTTTAAATAGTTTGATGGCACAAGCACTCACCCAAACTAATTGTGTATTCTGGTTTGACAAACCTAATCTACACACACACACATCTACGAAAATAATTATATTCCAGGATTTCATCATGATGAGCTGACATCGGTTAGAGGGGTATCGGAAAACCAGCTGGGAGTACTGCACAGCTGTTTCGTCAGCCTCGTTTGGGACTCTTCACAGTACGCATCCACCGACATGGTTCGAACTAAGGATCTGCTGGTTACAAGGCGAGTAGTGTTTTAGAGAAAAAGCTGTGAACCAACCTCATTTCGGTGATTGTCTTTTATGCGTTGAGCAATGTAGTGTTTTTCAATTGTCCAAGGAAAGATTTCTGTCAAGCGTTCAATACAGAACTCTGAGTATTTTGGGTTGAGACCTATTCACATCAAAACAGGAGAGAAAAGGAGACAAAATCAAGAATATTTACATGACCAGGAATTGATGTCATCAGTTGGAGAAGCATTGGAATCCACTAGGATTTAGTGAACTGGTGTTTCTTCTTGGGATTCGATTCCAGGGTCTTCTGGTTATAAGTCAAGCTTGTAGACCATTCAGCCACTGAGACCCACTTGAATGGCCAGCCGATGAATTTCAACCTCTATCAGTTCACCAACTACCCCCTGGTTTTCAATCGTTCTCTAGCTGATATCGGTCCGTGCGTGGTGAAAATTCAAACAAATGAAATCCCTGCAGTTGTCGCAAGACGTAATCATCAGTTGTGTTCACCAGGTGAGGATGAGATGAGCACAAATATTTGCCGATGAAACTGGCTGCTGTCAGTCGCGCTTAAAATTTACGAATTGGTAGAAGTTAGAATTTATGGGTTGGCAGTTGAGTGAGGTCCTAGTGTCTGAATGGTCTACGAGCTCGTCTTGTAACCATCAAACTCTGGGTTCGAAATTTGGTTGAGGCGTACTGGTGATGAGTCCGAAACAATGACGAGATGGCTGTCCACTAACATTCCCTGATGTTTTTAAAACCAAAGTAACTTATTTTGTGTTATAGCTAGCAGTAGTATCTGTGGTTAAGAGGTAGAACGCTCGCCAACCATCCCTCAAGTAGTTACGGCTTCTATCCATGCCTTACCCACTCCAGAATCTTGCCAAGCTGGTCATAATGCAGGTAAAGAGAGAGGGTTATGTCGCGCGAGGTTAGCAACCTCACCCTATAAAAATAAAGCCACTCCTACCGAAAATTCAAACCTCTCGTTTTTTATCCTTCTGCTTAAAATTAAATTGAAATAATGAGGAGAGTCAGTTGGATGCACTTGCACCCTACTGGTTGTGGTAGTGTTCCTCCGGAGACTCAGTTAACAGAGCCTACTGGTTCAAACACTTCAGCGTGCCTTATCCACTAGACTACCTCTTCACCTAGAAGTTCTGGACATTCAGTTATCTGCTCATCAAAGTGAAACCATAAAATGACGTGGTGTGATCATAATTTACCTGAGTCCACTTTGCTATCCATAGGTACTAATTTATCTTGTTTAGAGAAAATGAAATCCATCAGCGGTAATAATAATTCCATAACAGCCATATTATGAAGTGCACTATAGAAGACAAAATAAATAATAACAAAGTTTCAAAAGAGTTTCAGCTGTCGTCTCCATGACAAATAAATGTTAAATAGATGGTTGGAGGCAGGCAGTCGGAAGGAAGCCCTGCCTGGCTGAACTGCGTTTCATGCTTATTGACATTTTCCGGTCAGAAAGGTGTATACGCATCTTTGGAGGAATTCATATCCCTTCTGAGATTCGAACCAGCATCACTCATAGCCGTCTGTCGTCAGAGACATTATCGCTGAGACATTTAGGCTGGTGATTGACCTCCTGTAGGACTGACTGTATTGGACAATTTGTTTGGACATGAGGTGTAACAGTATCTGAGTCTGACTAAATTCTATTAGTCAGGTTTACAATATGACCACTAACAAGCTAGGCTGTTCGTCATCACAGTGCACTGTGAACTGTTGTTACTAGGTGGTTGCGGACAATCGGCGGGAGGCCCAGCCTGACCTAGATTTCGTGATTGGTTGTTGGAACTCGCTTGTCAGCAAGACATATGTGCATATGTGCAAAACACTCAGTCAGGTTCATGCATTTATTTAAGGTTGGCCAAGGTAAAGAAAGTCTCTGTAGCTTAAGCCATCGGAATCCATCTGAAGGGAAGTCAAACATATGTGTGTTCAGAAGAAATTAGCACACAGTCACTTTCCTTACCTTGGTCATCCTTACATGAATATGGAAAATACTGACAATTTCAACCTACCAACCCCACCCCAACCACCCAACCACCTAGGCCTTTTATAAGTTATCACTGTACAGATCATCTTCTTTTCGACTGCCTCCTTCCTGTTATTTAATTGCCTGTTACACAATCAACTTGTACACTCGCTTATTCCCTAATTACTCTTCTTATTTTTTTCAAAAATCATGAATTATGCAATCCATTTGTTGTTTGTATTAATTCTCTTGGTTAATTGTCACCCCGCACGCCTGACATGTTGATACTGACTGATTAATGTTAACAAACATATCACCACTAGATCGCCGAATCTACAATTCAATGAAGACTCACCAGCAGAAATGGTGAGAAACCAGCTGTCCCACTCAGCGAAGATAAAACTCTTCAAGGCTGAACTTCGACCAACTTTTCCCAAAAAACATTAATGGTTCGAATGAACGTAAAGGATAAGATACCATTGCTGGCCTCATCAATGTGTGCCTATGCATTCACCTGTCGACCTGGCCAGCGTTTGCTATCCACATGTGTCATCGAACACTTAAACTAATGATTTTGCATGGAAGTAAAAAAATAGTTTTTGATGTAGTTGTGTTCTCTGAGCTAGATGGTTTTTTCGCGAAGCTTTCATTGCCGTAGTAGGCAACATCTTTAGGACATCCACATGAGCTACAAATCTTCTCCATTATATCTAGAGAAAAGAGTCCTCCACCCCCTTGTAAGCCCTATTCTGCAACACCTAATCGAATCTTGACACCAAACTATCCCACAAACCAACTCCAAAGTCATCTACTGAATACGGGAGGGTCTTGCTGCAAGAGTCGGAATCAAACTTCTTCAAAATGCAGAAGCAATGGTAATTCACACATTAAATTGCGAACTCCACATACACAAGTGACAGTGTGTTCATTCACTCAGCCTACAATTGACCTAATCTGCCTTAACACTGGATATGAAAATTTTTGTTTTTTCATTTTTAAATTTTATTACCTTCTTCCAGAACTTGTGGACATTTCAATCTCATGTAAAACACATTGATGTTTCAGTGCCATTGCATCCTCCACTATTATCGGTAGTAATCGATAATCATCTTTGTAGTCAGTTTCCTTGAATAATTTTGCAAATAGATTTTCCCAATCCATCTTGAAGAATGAAGGAAGAATGAAAAGAAGCGGATATTTCGATGAAAATTAGGCAGATGTTGTAGGAAGATGCTTTTATAAAATCACAATATAAATTAAATTTTATCCATACCACATCAGGTGATAAATATCTATGTGGGTTAGGAGTTTGGACTGGGCATCGGTGGTGTCACGGAAAGCGCTTCCAACAGGCATCAACAACTGCTCTCATCTCCACCCCCTCCTATCAGCTCGCCTGTTGATGGCTTCATGCTGAAGATCAGATGACTGGCCAATCAGCCAGAAATAATTATCAACAAGAATCTCTGGAGGGGGGGGGGAAGAAACCAATACGGAACCTTCTGTTGTTCAGCAGATATGTCAAAGGAAATGTGTATGAGTGACATTGGGCTGCAGGCCATCGCTTGAATGAAACACGGATTGGGAAACGACGAGTTGGCCATGTAGCTGAGGGTGACATGAAGGAGTTTGTGTGATGAGGAAGAGATGAGGGCTTTTGGGTAATGGTAAGGCCAGCTAAAGTGGACTGTAGAGAATGGGACGTAGAGGAGGTGATCTGTTGAAGCCCCGTGTTCCATTTGGAATCCAAGGGAATAATCATGCATACACACATACATCTTTGTATGTCGATTGTCCAGTGAAATTATGATGGCCAACAGCGCCTCACGTGGCCCGGGTTCAATTCATGGCCGACGCATTCCGAAACCTCACTTAGCCATGGGTAAACCCAGTAAAGAGTTAAGGCTGAGTGTTTAGACAGCAGATCCACCCATTTTAAAACACAACACTGTCTCTCTTGTGAAACTTGATATTGTCATTATTATTATTATTGTTTTTCCTTGAGTTCCGAGTGGAAAATATGCCTTCAACAGTGCATCTCCAAATTGTCCTATTCTCTGTAGTCGTCTTTAGCTGGCCCCACGATTCCCCGTAGTCTTTCATCTCTTTCATGTCACCCTTGGACACACTTTCGACTCACCAGTTGCTTCTCATTTAGGTTCCACTAGAGAGCTGACCTAACTGGTGTGTGATGTAGCCAAACTGACTCCTCAGCATATGCCCAATCAGTTTCTACCTTCTGCTTTAAATTCATTGAGCAGTAGAAGGATTTTGATTGGTTGGCTCCCAAGATTTCTGGTCGGCTATCCTATCTGATCAGCCAGATTACCTTCATTATGGAGCCAGAGAAGGTGGCAGCTGTTGATAAAAGTCTACAGTAACCTGTTAGAAAAATGCTTCCAGTGACGCACACGCCATGTTTCTGACCGACATAGAAGAACTGACTGACTGAATTACCATTGGTGTTGATAATCCGAATTTTGTTGTTTACTCCGAGTTCAACGGAAGACTTCCAAAGTGATTTCCGAGTGATGAACATCCGCGTTATCTTCCCAATTCTGGCTGGTTTTGACATCTTCATCCTTGGAGTTGGCTGTAGTTGAAAGGATACTTCCTGGATAAGTGAAGGAAGTGATCTCATTCAAATATTTTCTGCTGATGATGACGGGTGCTTGTTGTTGATGTCGTCGGCTGACTTTTTGTCTTCATTACCTCTCTCTTCCCTACATTCCCTGAAGTCCTATCTTCACTGCTTCTATTGCCAACTTGTTGTAACCCTCGAATTCCTGTGACATTCGATATAAATCGCACAGCACAAAGTCCAAATCTTCTAGAGTCTTCTTAACGGTAGCCCCCATACCACGCTCAGGCTTCCACATAATCCAGTTCACCACAATCAGGAATATCAACGGTAATTGTAAACAGGCAGTCTTGTCTTACTCCTATCTCCACTTCGATGGCTTCTTCACTGAGTTTTCCGTTACGGATCACCTGACACGTGGCATTATCATTTAGCAGCTAGCTGTTTAATGAGGTTGATAAATTGTTTGGGGAACTGTACTGTATTGTGTTGAAGTAATTTCCAAATTACTCCTCCAAAGTCGATGGAGCTGAGATAGGGACATGACTGCCATTCTACGCACTGTTCAATGATGACGATTCGTAGAACTGACATTCAATCTGCACATGATTCGCTTTTTCTGAATCCAGATTGTTCTGGGAGTGTGGGTGGAGTTCTGCATCCATTGCATCCTTTAGTCTTTCCAAGGTGACGCGAATTAATATTTGGCTTGTTGCTTATTCTTCCTGGTCGGTCATATATTATCTTCACGATCCAACCAGCGAAAGTAGATGCTGACGAAGGTTCACAGTCTGTTAGAAGTTCCTTTATTGCTAGCTAAGTCGATATGCTGTTTGCTTTGAAAATACACTTGATTTTAAGATCTCCGAACTCCAAAACCTTGTCGACAAAAATAACACACGTTTGACACCAAACTATTACAACCAATGAATCTCCTAAAATGCAGTAAAATGTCACAAGTCAAAAATATTTGTAAATGTGAGCAAACTTCAGGAGTTTTCCTCTGTGACATAAAGGAAACCAGGAATAAAATATTCCTCATTTTTCAACAAATACCTTAGTGGAAATAATCTAAGGTGAAACGCTGATTTCTTCATGAAAACTTATCCTTCAACTGGGCACTAGTTGGTAAGGGACTAGTGTAAGGTGTGTTTAGTCCTTTGTGTTTTTGATGCAGACTAAATCCGACCAGTCAATCAAGTTTTCATTATGACCACCAACAAACTACGTGTTTCATCATCATTTTTTTCCTTCACGTTCCCAGTGGAACATAGGGCCTCAAGCTAGTGGCTTGAAGTTTCTGTGGCAGTGTCTATTTTACAGGATGGGGTTGCTAGCCTCATGACCAACCTTACCTCTTCACCAGCATTATTTCTGTCTTAGCGAGGTAAAGTAGTGCGTCGACCGGGGATCGAACCCCGGACCATGTGCATGGTCGGCGAGCGTCCTAACCGCTATGCCACCATCATCATGGTGAACTCTAAATTGTTGTTATTAGGTGGTTGAAAGCAATCGCCAAGAGGCAGCCTCGAATCCACGTGCTTGGACACCCGATCAACATGAGCATCCATATGCCAGAACTCCCGGTCTCGTGGAATTCCATAAGTAGCTAGATTACAGGCATATACCACCACACCCAGTCACTCCTTCAGTGTACGGTTATTTCTCTCTGTCAGACCATTCGTTTGTGGAGGATGATATGGTGTTGTTCTGATCTCCTTGATACCAAGCTGTAGCAAATGCGGAGTGAATCCTTCATTTTCAAAACAATGACCCTGATCTGTCAATATCACGTTTGGTACACCGTTGTCTGCAATGATGTGTCGAACTGTTGAGTGACTCACGGCTCTCGAACGTTGATCAGCAATCACGATGGCATCTACCCATCGTGTAGCGTGTTCCACCATCATCAGAAGGTACTGATCGCCACTGTGCATCTACGGAAACGGATCCATCACATATACTGCAGACAAGTCACCTACTGCTGTAACTTGAATTGACTGCAGAGGCAGTTGCATGCACCGATATCCTTTCATCGACTGGCACTGCGGACATCTTCATGAAAACTTATCCTTCAACTGGGCACTAGTTTTTCTTCTTGATAGCAGCTTGATTCCACACAGTACTACTTTTTGGTAGAAGTAAGGAATCTTCAGCATGTGATATCGGTAGCCCAAATTTCGCAGGCCAACCATTGATATCGGGTGTGCGTCGGCAGAAGATCGAACCCCGAACCATGTGCATGATCGACGAGAGTCCTAACCACTGTGCCACCGACGCACGTGGCTAGTCATTTGTTTGTTTACCGCAGACTGAATTCTACCAATCAAGTCAAGTTTTCGATGTGTCCACCAAAAATCTAGGTGGTTCATCACCATGGTGAACTCTAAATTGTTGTTATCAGGTGGTTGGAAGCAATCACCAAGAGGAAGTCTTGGCTGACACTCACCACCAGTCATCAAGGTGTGTATCTTCAATCTTGAAGGAACTCATGTTCAAACGCGTGTCACTCAGTGCTGTCTACAAGTAGAGAGATTATCACTGAGAACTATTCAGGCTAGCGACTGACCACCTGTTACAATGTATCAGACACAATTTGATTGAATACAAATGAATGAGATTTAAATGTTTGTTTAATTGTTGTTATTCTTGTTGTATTTACCGGTGGACAGATGGCCTTCAGTTCATCCATTCCAACTGTTTGTTTTCCTTTACTTGAAGGACGTTTGTTTGCAAAATACGAATTCTAAAATGGATACACCAAAAAGTAGATATGATTAGTATTCGCATAGAAAACAGAAATAAAATTAACGAAATAATTTTTACATTGATAAATATAATAATGATAATAATAATTTGCTTTATTCCAAAACACTACTTGTGATACAGAATGGAATTCTCAGCATTTTTACTACAGTATTGCATCCAGTTAGTACATTATCAATAAATAAAATTCTACATAGACTAAGGAAATCTCAGTTCATTATGACAACAACATATTGGCATTTCAGTAGCAAAGCCAACGCGGAACAGTGTTTGAAGGTGTTAGAAAAGTAGGAGCTGTCATATTTAATGGCGTAAGCGGAAGAAAGAAACAAAGCAGCACATAATAGAAAACAGAGAGAGAGAAAAGGAAAAGAAAGAAAGAAAACGTTGTACCTAAAAATGATATGAGTTGGAAAGACGAGATCCACTTGTTCTACTGACTATTTAATGAATTATAGGTGTCACGCTTAATGCTTTCTTTATCGCACAGAACACGAGCTAAGTAGGGTATGGTTGAGTTTTTGTACTTGCTAGTGCGAGCATATAGTTTTCTATATAGGCTTCTGGTTTTACCTGATGAAATACATGGGGAGAGTTGTGAATGGAGAGGGTGGTGTGAGTTAGATAAAATAAACAAAGCACTGTCATTAGAATTTAGGGAGAATCTTATTTGGCTGACTCGTGATGAAATTTATCCTCACTATGAATCCTGAGAAATCCTAACACACATACTAAGTTTCAATGCATTCTGTACAAATACAATAGTATACTGAGAATAAGGAAGAACATTCGGATTTTTAAAATCAGTGTCAAGTCATTTTGTCAGTCAGCCACTTCTCCTCTGTGGGTCAGAAACCTGACGTACGCCTCCAAACAGGCTACTGTAGACCTTCGCTAACAGCCGCCTCCTTCTCTGGTTCCACACTGAAGATCAAATGACCAGGCAGAAAGAATTGGCGACCTGGAAACCTGGGAATAAGCTAATCAGTAACTTGCTGTTCAATAAATTCATCGGGGAAAGTGTGAATAGTCTGTGGAAACGTGTTGAATGACATCGGTCGACAGGCCATCTCCCGAGTGGAAGCCAAATAGGGAACGACGAGTTGCATGTTCCACAATGAACTTGAGGGAACATTTATAACGAATCTCATTTCAAGGTCATATTTTCTCAAAGGAGGATATTCAGATTTTATGCTGTATTCTACAGAGACCCTGATAAGATTGAAGTCAGCTTTTCAGAGTTCTCAAATTTGGTTTCCCTGCATACATTTCATGTCAGGTTTAATTGTCTATGATGAAGGCGCTTAAATTGATAAAAAAGCCACTTTGATAACTGCAAATTCCAGCATATATTATTTATTATTATTATTCCCTTGGGTTCCGAGTGGAACATAAGGCTTAAACAACACATCTCCACTTTCTATTTTCTGCCATCCTCTTTAACTGGGCCCACTATTTCCCACAATCTCTCATATCCTCTAAAGCGCACGATCTCTTCCATGTGACCCTAGCACCGACGATGCACTCGTCGCTTTCCATTTGGATTTAAGTCGACAGCCTTGCACGCGATGTCATTTGACGGTCTCCTCAACGTATGCCCGATCCATCTCCATATTCTCCTACATATTTGTTGAGCAATCAGCTCTTGGTTGGTTTTTCACCCAGCGGAGTTTCTTGTTAATAATTCTTTCTGCAGGCCATTTGATCTTCAGTATGGAGCCAGCAAAGGCAGATGTTGATGAAAGTCTGTAACAGGCTGTTAGAAATCCCTTCCGTGACACGCTGGCCAAGTTTCTGACCCGTAAAAAAGGACCGACTTGACATATGTGTTGAAAACCCGAATCTTGTTCTTTTCGCTGGCTAAGTGAGTGTAGAAGATTTCAAGATTTCCAAACTGGTTTCAGGTTGATGAAGACGTACCTTGCCTTTTCCATTCTAGCTGACTTTGACGTCTCCATCCGTGCTGGCTGCTTGTAGTTGAAACGATGCTTCCTAGATAAATGAAGGAGGTAACCACTGTTGAAACTCTGCCTTGAATGGTGATTGGTGCTGGTTGTTGTTGTTGCCGTTCATTGGTTATCTTCATCACCTCTGTCTCCTCTATTTCCACCTGGAGTCCTTCTTCGCTTCCTATTCAACCAGTGTGTTGGGTTTCAGCTGTAAGTATTTGAGTTTATGTGACATTAGATATATATTATCTGAGAAATCCAGATCCTCTAGAGGTCACCTTCTCACACCAATACCTACGGTTTCCTGGGAATCTCTATCTCTTACATACCGATATTTGCTAAGGATTTCATTGTGTTGTGCCGAGAGTATCTGTTGAATATTGTTCAAAATGCTGTTCTGTTTATATTTACTAATGGAAATCACCTCCTCTCTGATGACATATAGAAGAAGGACTTATACAATTGGGAACATTTATGTCTCTTGAATGTAGCAAGAAGAACACCGGCGATTTGTGCAGAATAAGTTGGTACTGTAACAACAGAAGACAAGGGCCAGGCAACAGATCGTTTATTTAGGAAAATCAACACGTATTTATAGATTTTTATGTACATTATTGTAGGTCAATGTTAGTAGAAAATACAGCCTGTTGATTGGTTGTTTCTCTGGCAAGGTTAACCTTGCATATCTTGTGGCTGTGTCAGTTCAACTACATGTTAACTGTATCCGCCTGACAACCTTGACCTTTGACCTCAATTACTGTCCACCGCTTGGCTAGTAGACCGCTCTCACCACAGTACCATCGTTTAATTCACTGGCTTCTCATCAGCTGTTCAGCTGTGAGTTCAGTCTGTATACAGAACAAGTTTTTAACATATTTGGAAATGTTACATGATGTCACTTAATGACAGGAGGCTTCAAGGCTAGTGAATACTGCTCAGACAACTACACTTATTCAGTTTGTACCCAAAGAGTCCCCGTCTAAACAAAAATGATTGCATAATATAATTAGGGAGTTACGTAATCAAAACAATGTTGTGAATAAGATGGTGAGTAGCTAGCTAATATACTGAGTAACAATGCAGTGAGTTCAACTGAAATCATAGGGACGAGAGTCACGCAAAAGGTACATTATATCAAAAAGCAGAAGGGGGAGGTATTGGTTAAAGCGAAAGATTACGCAATCAAATGAATGAAAGAGAGAGTAAGTGAGCGAAGACATTCAGTCAGAAAAGCAACCAAGAGCCGTTAACTGCTTCTTCCTGAACACACAAATGGGGTTTCAAGCGTTTGGTAGTGATTGATTCGGCAAACATTTGAGGAGAATTCAACTGTTTAGTCTACTGGTAACTGTAAAGAATTTTGTGATGTCCACCTCATGTTCGGTAAGTCGGCGGCATGCCCTTCTTCTTTCTGTTATCCCGATGTAACTGCTACGGCAGATGCATATAATTTTGTATACACAGTTAGAATTTAACATGAGATGCGTATCTGTCGACTTCTGATTGCACCGAAAGTCAGCATGTTATCCGATAAAATGGGATCCAAATTAGGACATGTAGTTCATGTTCCAGTTAGCCACTTATATATTCAATCTTCTGTTATCTATGCCTACAATATCATCATCTTTAAGATTGAATTGACTGAAGATTGGCTTTCAACTCCAACCCCCACCTCACGGCTTCCCGTGATTTGTTTGGCATTTGAGCCTTCACAACTTCCATACTTATGAATACATTTCTGAGGATAACCGTTGTATTTCAGCATCTTTTCGGGAAACACAAATTCTTCCTCTAACTTCTCCCAGTATACCACATTCTTTTGACTCTGTAAAACAGAGTTTTGACCAGCGCTCATTTAAGGCTGTTTGGATAAGAACTATTAAAATGTAAGTGGGTATTGTCCAATCTATTTCTATTTATAGTTACCTATCCAAGGCTAATGGAAGTGCCAGTTATGTAAAACTCTACAGGAGGAACCTAAATAGAACGTTTCATTGTGAATACTATACACATTTATGTATGTCAGTGCAGCCATATTATATTTTAACCACCAACGAACCTAAATTCCAATAGAATTCAGTATGGAGTATTTGAGCAAGTTCAGTTACTAGTACAACAGAGCAACAGAAGCACTATCAAGTACAAAAACTCAACCATACCCTACTTAGCTCGTGTTCTGTGCGATAAAGAAAGCATTAGGCGTGATATCTATAACTTATTAAATAGTCAGTAGAACAACTGGATCTCGTCTTTCCAACTCATATCATTTATAGGTACAACATTTTCTTTCTTTCTTTTCCTTTTCCCTCTCTCACTTTTTTCTTTTTTTCGTTATGTGCTGCTTTGTTTCTTTCTCTCGCTTACGCCAGTATATATGCTAGTACCTACTTTTCTAACACCTTCAAACACTGTTCAACTTTGGCTTTGCTACCGACATGCCAAAATGTTGTTGTCATAATGAATTGAGATCTCCTTAACCTATGTAGAATTTTATTTATTGTTAGTGTATTAACTGGATGCAATACTGTAGCAAAAATGCTGAGAATTTCATTGTGTATCAAAAGTACTGTTTTGGAATAAAGCAAATTATTATTATTACTATTATTATGAAGACTTCCAGTTGCACTTGATTGGAGTGCCCACTGGCAAATTATCTTTCCAGTCATCTGGTCGTCCTCATATCGAGATTATTAATCCAAATTCTTCAATCTGTCCCAGAAGTACAGCTCAGAACAATTTGTCACTTGATGATGCATTTATCTGCACAGTTGGGTTTCAATGAATCCATGAAAATTGATGTTGAAACTCAGATCGAATGGATGAAAGTCTATTGAGGACATTGTTTATGTACAACTGGCAGATATAATCAATTCATGCTTAGAGATTTTCACTCCGATCTCCCCTATCTCACAGTAGAGGGAAGAATCCTCTCTCTCTTCAGTTTCCACTTCGTGCCATTTTACAAAAGACGCTTGTGGAGATGTTTTGAGCCTAGTCGGTGGAATCTCAGGTGATGTTAAATGAAGCCGTTGGTTCCTATGGTCCTTGCAAAATTGATGATACTGATATAGAAACCCAGTCTGAAGTTAAGTATCTTGGATTAATTCTTTCTGCTGACCTATCCTGGTCCTCCCATGTCTTAGCGATTTCTCAAAGAATATTTCGTCTGACATTTTACATTAAGAAGTTGAGGCATTCAGGCATAACCCAACCCCTCCTCCTCTTACAGTGTGTCAACTCGTACATCTTACCTATTCTTCTTTACTGTTCACCCTTATTCTTTCTTGGGTTGCTTAAAAAGGACTATGTCATGCTTCGTAGAACTCTGAAGACTGTCAGTAGGACGAGTGGTATCCCATTGGGCCATATCGTTGGCATAGTCACCGATAGGCATTTGATGTCATGCAACAGATTCGCTAGAGGAATTTTGTCAGACTCTGAGCATCCATCACAGCGCCCGCAGCTCCAACCTTGTGTCTCCTCAGGTAAAACGAGAAGTCTGTTCAGAAGAATTTAAGCACGTACGTCTAACTACAAAAATTCCACTATACTATATTTAGCACGTACTTTATGTGATGAAAACAGTGTTAGGCATGAACTAACTAACTAACCTTCTTTGCACCACTAAATAAACCATTTCCTTCACCTTTAAAGCATAATACTTTATTGTTATTGTATTTCTTATATTTATAATCTTCTCATTTTTTTGTTGCTGTTTATTTTTTTCATAAGTGTGAATATCACTTAAGCTGTGTTATAACTGTCAATTTTGTATTTCCCCTCACTATATTATACAAACAGAACATTAGATCCAATAATCTATGCACACGCTAAAATTTCCGAACTGAATCGACAATACCGTTTGAAATAAACTCACTGTTATTATTATTATTATACTTAATAATCTCAACTGGTGCTTCGAATATTTTTGACTTCATATCGTAAATGTGGACAAATTCCTCCGGTTAATTTCGTTTTAATTTTTAAATTTATAAAATTTTGAGTAAATCAGATGCAGTATTGTGACAAATGCTGAGAATTCCATGCTGTATTATAAGTACTGTCTGTTTTGGAATAAAGTAGATTGTTATTATTATTATTATTTTGAAGAAAACACTTTGCAGATTTCTCTGTCATGATTTGGATCTACTGGGCATAGACGACTAGATTCATAATTGATCTGTCCTTTTTGTGATTAACTTTCTCATCATACAGATTCTGAAGAAACCGTCCAAATTCGTTGTAGAATTTTCGTTGAAAATGCATCACCATTCACTACTCACTATAAATTGGTTGATTCTGACCAAGGAACAATATGATGACATCCATTAATTTTGCTGGTAAAGTCAACCATACACCAAGTGAGGGATGCCACACTACTTCGTGGGGAGGAGTGGAGGAGATAGGTGAGGAGATGTATCACTGACAGAGAGTACTCAGACTTACAAATGTCTTCCAGTTGTCCCCCAATTAAAATTCTACTAAAACGGGATGGGAGGTACTAGGACGCACTAACTATCCTTGTTAGCTGTAAAATCATGATTGATGCAATCAATTAGACACTGATTATTTATCTATGGTTTAAATTTCCGTTGATATGTAGGGAAGAATACACTCCGTATTTGTGAATAATTAAGGATTTTCTTGCTGATGTTGTCGCAGTTGCCACAGTTGAATCTAACTTCTGTGTGTGGGTGTGTGCGTCTACTCAGTGTCGGGGAATACTATCAAGTGTTCATTTGCAGGGTTCTAGTGGGAAGTCATGAGGGGAATTACTCGCCGACATTAGCTAGTGCCAGTCGCTCTTTATCGTGAATCGGTAGGAGTTGGAATTCATGCGGTAGCAATGGATTGGGTCCCAGGTGCTGATGAATGTTCTACGAGTTGGCTTGCCTTGTAACTGGAAGTTCGTGGGTTTTAAACCCTGTGGTAGGTGCGCATTGTTGAAGAGTCCAACACTGGGACGAAACAGACAACTATCCAGTACACTCTGTTGGTTTTCCCATGGTTGTCCAACCAGTGTCAGCTCAAGGATGAAGTCCTGATAGGTAGTCATTTTTGTTGTTGGCGTAGGTGACTCAGTTGAATCTGTCTTCTGTGTCTATATGTGTGTATGTGTGTGTTTCTACTCTGTGTGGAGGAATACTCTCGTTCGGAAGGCTCATTCTAGTCAAGATAGACAACACAACACAACACAACGAGCAACAAATCACAAACACTGTGTTAGAAACAAATACTTACATGAGCAAGACGAAAGCTTAACTCAAAGGCATCGATTAGCTTATTGGCTTCAGACTCAGGCACTCCCAGAGTATGAGCAAATTCGTAGTAAGAAGGTGCCATTAAAAGTGATTCTTCCTGTTCAGATAACAAAGGGAACAAGAATGTATATTGAACAGCACTGTATTATCTTGTTTATAAATAAATAAATATGAATCGATAGTTTTATCTGATTGGCAGTAAATAAACCAATGAAAATTCACAGCTTCGAGTGATTTGATTGGTCGTCACAAGCTGACATCAGTAAAGGATTATTGGAAAACCAATACGGAGTACCGGACAGCCAGCTGTCTCATCCTTGTTATTTCGGACTCTTCATTAGTACTTGCCTCCCAGTTGGGGTTTGAACCCAGGACTTTCTGGTTACGAGGCGACCTCGTTCGCACTGACACTGGTTGGTGGTTGAGCTAAATATATTATCATGGATTGGTGGAAGTTAAATTGATTACTCCATTCTATGGAAATTCATGTATTATTATTTTATTGTTTCCTTTAATTCCTAGAGGAACATAGGGCTTCAGCCGTGCGTCTCCATTGCGTTCGGTTCTCTGCTAAAGTTTTCACCTGGCTCCAAGTCTGCCCACACGTTTTCATCTCCTCTTCACATGACCTCCTCCAAGTCACCCTTGCACTGACGACCAACTCACCGCTTCCCCTTCGGGTTCCACTCGAGCAATGGCTTGTCTAGTGATGTCACTTGATGGTTTCCTCAGAGTATGGCCAGCCAATCCATCTCCATTTCTTCCTGCCTATTTGTTTCACAATCGGTTCCTACTGTGTTGGTTCGCTCCCAGAGATCTCTGTTGCTGATCTTTTCTGACTGGCCATCTGATCTTGAGTATTGAGCGAAGACAACTGTTAATGAAGGTCTGTAGTTTGTTTGAGATGCTCTTTATTACGCGCAGTGCAAGTCTCTGATCCGTATAGCAAGTAGCACTGACTTCACATTGGAGTTGAAAATCTGGATCTCATTTTTGATGCTGAGTAGTGCTGTTTACCTCCACACAGACTTGAGAGTAGTGAAAGCTTGTCTTGCTTTTCCGATTCTTGCTTTGATATCCTTCATGTAAACTGAATTATCTCGATTGGTGTTAGATTCTTTTGACGAATTAACAGATCAGTGAGACGGAGACGGAGACAGATAGAGGGAGATCATAGAAATTCAACTGGGAGAACTGGCGGACAGCTGTTTCGTCCTATTTTTAAGCAGAGCTGCTCAACAGTACTCACCCGTGATCAAACACTCAATGGATCGAAACGAGGAACTTCAGGTCGAGAGATCAAAATCGGTGACGACTATTCAACCACTAGAACATATGCTTTATCATAAATGTGATGACACAGTATTAACTGATGGAATTATTCATTTTTGGATTTCAGAGATCAAAGTCTTTGCTGTGTTCGACAACACAGAAATGTTTGAGATTCGAGAACACTTTTCCATGATATATAGCGTAAGTTGGATAGGGATTTATTTTAATATGACACTGGAGAGTATTTATGTTGAGCATTGAAGTTTCTATAGCAGCAGTCACCAGCAACGGGAGAGATTCGATAGACGTGAATTCCTTCACCTATCTAGTCTCCATCTTTTCAACTACAGCCAACTTCATGGTAGGAGGATGTCAAACACAGCCAGACATCCGTTACTGTGAAATCAGTCGGGAAATCTCCCTCTCAACTCAGCATAAAATAACAAAATTCGGATTTTCAGCATCAATGTTAATTCAATCACTTCTTCTTTAAGCGTCAGAAGCATAGAGACTGCCTCATCAAAATCACTTTCAAAAGATCACTGTGGACTTTCATCAACAGCTGCCTCTCTCTCTGATTCCATACTGAAGATCAGATGGCTGGCCTCCTATTACTCAACAAATATGCAGAGGAAACTGGAGATGGATCGAACACCCACACACGTTGAGGAGACCAACCAGACCATCACTCGAGTGGAACCTGAATGAGAAACGAAGGGCGACTTGGACGTGTGTCTGAGTGTGACATGGAGGAAATCGTCTGACGAGGGTGAGGGATATAAAAGCTGATAGGTTGTGGTAGGGCAAGGTGAAGGGGACTGCAGTGAGGAGAGTGAAGCAGTGATTATCTTTCGACGCCCTGTATTCTGTTCAGAACTCAAGGATATAATAAAAAATATAAAGTCAGGATAATTCAGTTTCTTGGACTAAATCATTACCTAGTTTACTGCTGATCAGGTTATCTGTGATTGGATCACAGTGACCCCGCTTATAAATACCAATGGCTTCTGAAGGCCACTGAAAATTGTTCGTATGGGAATTGTAGTTTTTTCCGAGTATAACATAAGGATTCAACGGATCATTCACATTTAACACTCCTCTCTGCAGTCCTTTCCAGCTGATTTCGCGACTGCTCATAAGCTTTGATCTCTTAGTAAAACCTCCTTCATATCACTCTCGAACTGACACCCAACTCCCCGTTTCCCATTAGGGTTCCATTCGTCGACCAATGGCCTGGTGTGCGATGTTTTATTTATTTCGTGACCCACTAATCAAGTTTCTAACCCATTTTGAACACGTGACTGACTTAACATTGGTGCTGAAAATTTGAATACTGTTCTCTCTTCTGAGTGGAGTAGATTTCTGGATTGATTTCAGAGTGATAAAGGCCTGTCCTGCCTATCCAATACCCGTCGTCATATCGCCAACCGTTCCTCCTGTAGTTAAAAGGATGCTTCGTAGATAGGTGGAGGAAGTAACCTCTCCCGGATGTTGTTTCTCCTGGTTGGTTGGTTATCTTCATCACCTCTGTCTTCTCTATGTTTACTTGGTGTTCTGTCTTCACTGGCTGCTTCTTCTACCAGTTGGTTGCTTTTCACCTGTCTGTCGGTCTTCCAGTATTTGTGTCACAACAGATATATACCGTCCACCACGAAGTTCATACCTTCTAGAGTCTTCTTATCAGTCAGTCCAAAATAGTACCGACTTCTTGCGCTCCATAGTCTGGCGACCACAGTTAAGAATTTCATCGTGGATGATAGTAGAGAGGTGGTAAGGTAGTTTTGTCTTATTCCTGTCCTCACTTCACAATCTTCACCAAGACATCTCGTGTGAAACACCCGCAATGTGGCATTGCCATACTGCTGGCTATTGAATGAGATTGACTACTTGGAATGCTATATGTAAATGAATGTGTGGGTTGGTGTGTGCGTCAGTGGCACAGTGGTTAGGACTCTCGCCGACCATGCACATGGTCCGAGGTTCGATCCCCTGCCGACGCACACCTGGTATCTATGGTCAACCTGTAAACCTTGGGCTACCGATATCATATGCTGAAAATTCCATACTTGTACCAAAAATACTGTGTGTTTTCAAGCTTTAATCAAAAAAATTTACACTCATAGTTTGCGTATTACTCCAACAGCTTCGTACGACAACAACTAACAAATTCCCTCAACAAGGATACATGACACTATTCTACAAATGTAGTGTGAACAGCGCCCAATCTCATAAATATGAAGAAATGCTTCTTAACTGTGTCTTTTCCCCCTAGTTGAGACACCTACTCACAACTTTAAGGAACCAACAGAAATTGTGAAATGGATATCACCAAAAAGTTTCAATTTACCTCTGTTTTATAACTTTCTGCTCCAAATGAATACTCTGCTATGGAAATCTAATCAAAAGATTGAATAAACAGAAAGTGGCGCGTTTTAAAAATTGAAGAAACTGAAGAATACATGGTCACAAAACACTAGATAAAGAAAAAAGAAAACTTGGCCGATTTTTGGTATTTGGTTTGTGCTACTGACAAGAATTATCAGTAGTATAAAGATACAAATAAAAAATATGTTGTTTAAATACGTCCAAACCAAGTACACTTTCAACACCAGTCTCCCCAATAGTCACTGGCCTTTTCATGAATAGATTCGAAAATAACATCTTTTCAAGCATACTCACTCCTAAATATGGTTAAGATATGTGGATGATACTTTTGTAGTGCTAAAACGAGATCTACACAATTCATTCCTGGAGAAAATAAACTGTGTATCTCCCAGAATCCAGTTTACTTCGGTGAACTACCATTTCTAGACTGCCTAGTTAAGAGGAGGGAAAACGGACATTTTAGTATATCCATATTCAGGAAGAAAACCCACTCCAACAACAAATATTTAGACTTCAGATCATCACACCCCATCAGCGCAAAGGTTTCAATTGTTTCAAGTCTTCTTAGACGAGCACACTCTCTGATGTTAACGGATGAGAAAGAAAAAGAAGAAGAAATATCAAACATTACTGAAACTCTCAAGCAAAACAACTACCCAAGGAACTTCATTAACAAAATCAACAGTGACATTAAGTATGGCCGAAAACGCATTCCGAAAATATGGACCTCAACAGTCGTCATTCCATATAGAGCAGAGACGTCAGATGATATCAGAAGAGTACTCAATCAGCTCGACATTAGAGTTTTCTTCAAAACATCAGACACACTACGAAACAACCTTGTCCATATAAAAGACCAAATCCCTAAAGATTCTCTATCTAATTGTGTCTATAAAATAAAATGCTTGGAATGTGATGCGATATACATCGGACAAACATATCGAGAAATCAAAATCAGAAGAAATGAACACCGTGGAGCATCTGTTTGACCACCGAGAAATCCGGTTGAACTAGAAAAGCTTGAAAAATCATCAGCCATAGGTCGCTACACGCTATAGAATCAGGCCACAAAATTGATTTTGACAATATTGAAATAATCCAGAAAAACTTCAGAAATCACAAAGAACGTCTAATATCATCAGAAGCACTTCATATCAAGTGGAATCCAAATTGTCTGAATAGGAATGATGGACTAAAACAGAATCTGACCTGGTTACAACACCCCTCTACCCAATGAAGTGACAAAATCAACACGAATGTGATAAGCAATTTCATTATATAAACAAACACTGCTTTAAAATATTACACACTGATCAAATCCATCAATCTACACTTGGTTTTGTTATCTTTACCAATTGACCAACTTGACAACGAAAAAATGACCCCAGACTGACGAACGATGATCAAGTTAGTAAACTTTGTTTTGATATCATAACAGATGTACTATTACCTTTGTTATTTGGTTTAGTGATCTTCATTGCTATTTTGACTTTCAATATGTCCCTTTAACTTGACCTATGTCTATTTTCTCACCCCCTAACTGTTTGTTATATATATGCTGAGATTTTGTAAATTCCGGTTTAATAATACTTTGATAAAGCTATTAGCAGCATTAAATAGCGAAACGTCAGTAAAAACAATATCGTTTTGGGAAATACGAAAACCTCACAGATTAATGTCGGTTAGAGAACCACTGGAAACCAGCAGGAAGTGCTGATGGACAACTTGCTGCTTCATCCGCCACAGGGATTCAAATACAGTAACTTCCGGTTACAAGGCGGGCGCTCATAGACCATCCATCAGCCACTGGGACTCGATGCAATGGTCAAACCATGAATTCTAACTTCTATCAACGCGAGTGGTACCAAGCAATGGCCTCACTCCTGACCTGATGGTCCCCACTGGTGATGATTTCTCAACATAAATTATTTCCAGGCAACTTCGTCCTGAAGCGAGTCACTGGAGAGTGTCAGATTAATTTTCAACAAGAGTTAGTTTGTAAGGATGGGATTTGTTTGAATTTTCAGTTAGAAGGGGGACGATTGGAAACCAAACTAGGCAGCACCTGTGAACTTTAGCACTGCTCTTGTCTCTTACTTTCAGACTCATTTGATACTCCCTTCTGGTTCACAATCGTTCTCTAACGGATATCAATTCTAATGTTACATCTTTGAAAATATTCGTTTAGTTGCTAAGATTACGCTGAAAAGATTAACTCTTCGTTGAACATCTCTTCCTTCTTTAATGCGGAATTATTGTGCTCTAACTAAATATCCTGGACCGACGTGAAGAACCTAGATGACCTGGATTTCGCGTGTGGATGATTTATGTTTGATGTCACACAAAATCGAGGACTTACAAGCGAAAACCGATAAACTGGTCGAAGAAGCAGCAAAGACATGACTCCAGGTGAACATAGACAAGACGGAGGTTATGAAAATAACCAACCAACCAACAACAACAACAGCAGCAACATCCAGCGCCAATCACCATCAACAGGAGGGATTTGAAAGAGGTTACTTCTTTCACTTATCTAGGGAGAATTGTCTCAACTCCCGGAGGAACGGACGAGGATGTCAAATCGAGAATCGGGAAGGCGAGAAACACATTCATCAACCTGAAACCAATCTGGAAATCTTCGTCACTCCTCAACATCAACAACAAAATTCGGATTTTCAATACAAACGTCAAGTCAGCGAGTTCTTCTATACGGATCAGAAACTTGGCGGGTCACAAAGAATATTTCCAACAGCCTGTTGCAGACCTTTATCAACAACTGTCTTCGTTCTATACTAGAAGATCAGATGGCCGCCAGAAAGAATCACCAACAAGAAACTATGGGAACAAACAAAACAAGAACCAATCGCTCAACAAATATGCAGGAGAAAGTGGAGATGGATTGGACACTCGCTGAGGAGGCCGCTGGGTGACATCGCGCGTCAGCCCATTGCTCGAGTGGAACCCGAAAGGGAAGCGGCGAGTGGGACGTCCAAGAATGACATGGAGGAGATGGTGTGAAGAGGAGTTGAAACAGTATGGACTAACATGGATGCAGGTGAAAAGTACAGCAGAAGACAGAAGCAAGTGGAGACGTGCAGTTGAAGCCCTATGTTCCACTAGGAACCCAAGGGAACAATAATAATTAATAACTAAATAAATGAATTGAAAGCTTTTCCAGGTTTTCCAATGGTTCTCTAACCAATGTCAGCTCATGATGAAATCCTGTAACCGAATTGAAAGGTTGTCTAATTTTTTATGATTTTATTTTGAAGACTCAACTTACATGAATGGTGGGTGGAAACTTTCCATGAATATCTAAAGAAAACAGTGGGCTACCTCCACTTGTGCTTAATAACGGTAGATATAAGTCTAATAGACTCAGCTGTTTGCCACTATCCTTGACAACATCCGAAGATACGGTCACAGTTTGATGTGTAGATGGCAATAATTCCCATTCACCATAGGTTTTCGCAATTATCTGGCGTACTTGACTTCTCAAATCTTCAAGAGATATATTGCCTCGTTCGACGCAAGATTTGTAAAATTTGCGGACATTATTTAAGTGAATATCGTTCGTCGCATATGATGAATTAGCTGTGAAATAGAATAAAACACTAGTGCGTATATGTACAGTTAAACAATGGAAACAGAGGGTGCTAATTCTAAGGGTATTATTGTAAGCCAGCTGTATTTTCTCTAGTCATTGCTTATTAAAGTGGTGGGCGAGGACTTTGAGACTATATTTAATTCCAATTGTGGAAAACACTGGTGCCTGAAACTGATATGGATTGATGAAGGCGTATTTGTCCTGCCAATATCTTCGCAAACAATTTAAGCGTATATTAGGTAGTCCGTGCGTCGGTGGCATAGCGGTTGGGACGCTCGCCGACCATGCACATGGTCCGGGGTTCGATCCCCGGCCACCGACGCACTCCTTCACCTCGCTAAGCCAGAAATAATGCTGATGAAGAGGAGAGGTTGGGCATGAGGCTAGCAACCTCATCCTGTAAAATAAACACTGCTACAGAAACTTCAAGCCACTAGCTTGAAGCCCTATATTCCACTGGGGAACGTGAAGGAAAAAAAATTAGGTAGTCCAATTTGGATTCTCTCCGCTGATTGATGGTCAGTTTGAATCCTCACACGTCGTCGTTGAAGCGTCTGCACAAGTAGACGATATGTCAACCTGGGGCCGAACACTTCTGTCCAATCAATCAACGGAAAGTCCAAATTGAATTAAATAATAACTGGGACTTGTTACAGAAGTGGTGATGGCTCTCATAGCCAAAGTCGTCTAGTGGATAACACGCTCTAGCGTTTGAAACGATGGGCGTACTGGATTCAAGACGCAGTACGCTGGGGATGCTGGTGCGGGGGGGAGACACAATCACTGACTCACTGACTGGGAAATGCGCGTACATCCTCTAGCTGACACAATTCCCAAATAACGGATGAAATGCTCACACATTCTGGTGGATTGCATTGCAGACAGTCACCAGCACTAAATTTGCTATTATTATTGTTTCCTTTAGTTCCTAGAAGAACATAGGGCTGAAAAAACAGCACATTTCCATTGCATTTGGTTCTCTGCCAATGTTTTCACCTGGCTCCGCATTTGCTCACATGCTTTCATCTCCTCTTTATATGACTTTCTGCATCTCACCCTTGCACTGACGACCAACTCGCCGCTTCCAATTCGGGTTCCACTCGAGCGATGGCCTGCCGGGTGATTTCACTCACTTGATGGTTTGTTTTTCAGAGCATGACCAATCCAATCCACCTCCATTTCTTCCTGCATATTTGTTGCACAATCGGTTCCTGCTGAATTGGTTTGCTCTCAGAGATCCCTGTTGCTGATCTCTTTTGGCCATCTGATGTTGAGCGAAGTACTGAGCGAAGACAGATGTTGATGAAGGTCTGTAGTTTGTTTGAAGTGCCCTTCGTGACGCGGCGTGGTGCCAAGTCTCTGATCCATACAGCAAGTAGCACTGACTTCACATTGGAGTTAAAAATCCGCATCTTGTTTTTCATGCTGAGTAGTGCTGTTGATCTCCACACAGACTTGAGAGAAATGAAAGCTTGTCGTGCTTTCCCGATACTCGCTTTGATATCCTCATCACTTCCGTCCACCGGTAGTTGAAACGATGCTTCCTAGGTCAGTAGGTAAAGGAGGTTGCTTCTTTCAGATTCCTGCCATTTATGCTGATTGTTGTCTGTTGTTGTTGTTGCTGTTGGCCAGGAATCTTCATTACCTCTGTTTTCTCTATCTTCACCTGAAGTCCTATATCCTCTGGATGCTTTTTCTGCTAACTTGTTGCTTTTCACTTGCATATCTTCGAGTGTTTGTGGGAAATCAGACATATATCACATCGTCGAAATCGAGATCTTCCAAGTTAACATCTGTCTCCTCGTTTTCAGCTATGTGTCTGTCGCATTATCCAGTCTACAGCAATTAGGAAAATCTTTGGAGATAGTAGGCAGCCTTGTCTTACTCCAGTTTTCACTTCGAAGGATTCCGTTGAAATTCCTGTTGTGGATTACTTGACATCCAGCATTGTCGTACAACTGTTAGATGAGATGCATAATTGTTGGCGCACCCAGCAGTAGCGAAGTAGTTCCCAAATCATCCCTCGATCAACGTTGTCGAAGGCCTTTTCAAAGTCATTGAAGTTGAGATAGAGAGCTGACCGTTACTCCAAGCTCTATTCAGTGATGATACGTAGTGTTGCGATTTGATCGATGCATGACTTGTTTCTCCTGAATCCCGCCTGCTGTGGGAGGAAGTTGTTACATATATATGTAGGTAACAGAGGAGCAACGTTTTGGGTTGCACCCTTTAGAATCAGGAAAATAAGAAATAAACCAATAAAGCGTCGGTGGCACAGAGGTAGAGTGCTCGCCGACCACGCAGGTGGTCGCGGGTTCGATCCCCGGCACTCCTTTACCTCGCTAAGCCAGTGGTAAGACTGGTAAAGAGGTAACATCCTGTAAAAATAATCACCAGGTTACAGAAACTTCAAGCCTCCCTGTGTCCCACTGGGATCGTAAAGGAATAAAAAATGCAACAGGAGACGCAGCGACAATTTAGGCATAGATAACTGACAGCAGATCAGAGGAAATGTTCATTTCTACATAACCTCGAGTTGACTGACCCATAATTCTGTTTCACAAAAACTGTATTCGTTTCCTCCGTCATTTTTTCATCACAGTTTGTTCTTCATTGAAGATGTTGGATTGGATTAACAATCCTAGTCAATCATTGTTTGTCCATTGCATGATATGTTGGGTGCGTAATACTGAAGAGTACCAAACTAGGACGAAGCGGCTATCCAGTACTCCCTGTTGGCTTTCCATTGGTTCTCTAAACGATGCAAACTTATGAACATACCTCTAACCATTACTCATATCCACCTTGCAAACCAACATTTGACAGAAGTAGCTACTTCGTGTAGTTCAATGAAAACTCAGACTACACATTGTCCGGAATTTTAGTCTTGATGATAAGTTTGGTGCCTCTGCATACTTCAAAGACTTAGTGCGTACGTCACTAGAAGCAGTTCCAAGAGGCTCCCACAGACTTTGAAGCTAACTTCACTGGCTTGATGGCAGTGAAGGTAAGATTGTGGGGCCCAGAATAGATAAGCGACAATGGATCTCTTGGAATTAGTCATCACGCAACCTATCGTCAGACAAACATACAGAGGGAAATGGGGATGAATTGGACTGGCCAGTTCAGGCCATCACTCGCGTGTGATCAGAATAGGAAATAATGAAGTTTGTTTAGGCTGGGGAATGACATAGAGGAGATCGTTTCAACAGGGGGAGGGAAGGGTTGATGGCCTATATTCCACTTGGAACCAAAAGAAACAATATTATTATGTATCTACATTCATGCCAGCCACTCACCGAATAATCTCCAAATGTATTTTTCGATCTTCTTGTTTAAGCTTGAAAACGTGTTTATTTTATGCTTGTCTTCTGGTATAGGATTATCCTTTTCCCATTTATCACAAGCATAACGATAAAAGTCATTACAAGGAGTAACAGGAAGTGAGGCGATTTCGTCAGTCGTTGTACTGGCATTTGTTATGATGGTTTCTTCATCTGAAAAGAAAACGATTCCAAGCGATTACAGTGTATCTATAAGAAACTGTTAAATTTATTAGTTAATAACAATTCGAGAGCAGGCAAATACTTCGTCATCAGAAGTCGTCCATTGATCCAACTCTAACTGGTGTCATGCATCCAGTCGTTTGTTTGTTTGGGGCAAACTGCATTTTATCGGTCGAGTTTGTAATGTGGCTACCATGTTAAGTGGCTTGCCATCAAACATGCACTCGTAAATTTTGGTCTTAGGTGGTTGGAAGAAATCGCCAAGAGGAAGCTTTGAACCATCTACGTTTTATGCTTGTTGGTGGCAGTTACTCACCATTTAGCAAGGCGTGTATCTGCAATACTGAAGGGACTCATTTCGCTTGTCTGAAATTCGAATCCACGGGGTGCAATGTTACAGTTAGGGACGTAAACTGTGAGCTCTTCTGGCTCGCGACTGACCTCCTTCCTGTAGGACGACAGTATTAGATATTTTTATTGGACACCAGGTAGGTAGCAGATAACTAGTGTCATGAGTACTGTTGTTTGTTCCTTCAAGGTTGCAGATACATGCCTTGCTGACTGGTGGTCAGTGTTAGATGGTTCAAAGCTTCCTCCTGGCGATTTCCTCCAACCACCTAACTAGCTAACTAATCAACTTCATTAAGTGAACCACTGAAAATCTATACCAACTTCATTCAACAGCTAGCTGCCAAATGACAATGTCAAGGTATCCACGACGGAGAGCTCAACGAAGAAGCCCTTGAAGTGAAGACAGGAGTAAGACAAAGCTGCTGTTCACTATCACCCACAAGGATATTCCTAGTTGCGATATGCACGGGATCGATAGGACGAGAATACGCTACACTGACCAATAGGAGGACTCTGAAAAATCTAGACTTTGCGGACAACAGATAACTCAATCTATTAGACTCACAGATGAAAACCAACAAACTGACAGGAAAAGCAGCAGCCAACGAACACAGGATTTCAAGTAAAGGTGGGGCAGATGGAGGTGATGAAGATAACCAAGCAACTAACCACAACATCAAGCACTGATCACTTTCAGCGAGAGTAATCTCAGTGAGGTCGCTTCGTTCACATTTCTAGGCAGCATCGCTTCAAATAGAGATGGGTGCGTGGATGCAGATGTCAAACACAACGAGAATTGGAAAGGCAAGACACAGGCATTCATCATCCTAAAATCAGTTTAGAAATCTTCCATAATATACACAAAAAAATCGAATTATTAACACCAGTATACAGTCAGCCAGTCAGTTCTTCTGTACGGGTCAGAAAAATGGCGTGTGTTTCACAAAAATCATTTCGAACATGCCATTGAAGACTTTCATCTACAAATGCCATCTTTGCTTGCTCTAAACTGAAGAATAGATGCCTGGCTGATCCGCCAGAAAGAACTATCAACAGGAAACTATTCGAATGTAGCAACGGGCCGACTATATCTATGTGAACATGCTTGAATCATCTCTCCGGAAGGTTAAACTGCTGAGGTACGGTGACCGTATGTCTATGAACTTTCGAGCGTTGGCATTATAGACTTTTGCGTGCCCATTGTCGAATGTCCGAATTCATCTTGGGCCACACGAAACGCTCACTTATTAGCTTGACTGTAGCTTACACACCAGGATGGGATAATGCATGTAAATGATGGAACAACGCTTTTCGACTAGGTTGAGGAACAAACGGTCGATGGACACCTGTAGATACGTCGCAGACGATGGTGGTGTCGGATAGGGGAATAGGTATATCCCGGAATTGCAAGGAGGATCTCTCACGGCAAGCTAAAAGTTCAGTGTCATCGCGTTGTAATCTTGCGATGGTCTCGAGACTGATGTCTATTGGCTTGAGCAGATGATTTAAATCACGGCGAGAAAGAGAGTCAGCTACCACATTGGCATTGCCTTTAATGTACTGTATGTCTGTCGAGAACTGGGAGATATAATCTAGCTGCCTAGCTTCTCTGGGTGAGTGTCTCTCCAGTGACGTAGTAAAAGCGTAGCACAGGGGTCTGTGATCGGTAAATATTGGGAAATGACGACCTTGTAGCAAAAAGCTGAAATGTCTAATTGCTAGGTAAATGGCTAACAACTCTCTACCAAACGTACTGTAACGCGTCTGAGCTGGTTCACATTTCTTTGAAAAGAAAGCGAGAGGAGTTACTGCATCATTTATCTTCTGCTGGAGTACAGTTCCTACTGCAATTTGAGAGGCGTCAGTGTACAAAATCAGAGATGCCTTAGGGTTGATGTGGGAAAGCATAACAACCTTGGATAACGCTTCTTTAGCGTTAACAAATGCTTCTTTCGCTTGATTCGACAGTTGAAACTTTTTTGGATCACATTTGAGAAGATCGGTTAGGGGTTGTACAATGGAGGCACATGAAGGTATAAAACGTCGATAGAAGTCAAACATCCCAAAAAACGTCTGACCTTCTTGAGTGAATCTAGTTCGGGGAAATTTTTGATGATCTCTATCTTTTCCTCCATAGGCCTAATACCATTTTCGGTTATGTGGTATCCTACAAACCTCAGATTGTTCAAGAAATATTCCGAAGAAAATGCATTTGCATAGGAAACAGGTTGAGGAGTCTGTGGTGTGACATAGTATCACATGCTTCTAAGTGGAACCCGTATGGGAAATGACCAGTTGGTTGTGTGTTCATGGGTGGTTTATAGGAGATAGTGTGAGGAAGAGATTGCATATTTTTGGTAATCTTGAGACTAGATGAAGGGAAATGCAGAGAAGGCGGTGAAATGGAGATATACTGTCGAAGCTGTATATTCCATTCAGAACCGGAAGGAATAATAATAACAACGCTAAGAACGGCCATCATTCACAGGTTGGCATACCTAACGATGAACAGTACTACGTGGAACCAGTTATTCGTTATCCCTCCTATTTCAGAATATGATAGATATGCAGACAGATAATCAATAGATCAACCTTTATTGGTCATACACTGATCAAGGTCATCCCAAAAACAGACCAATCAGAATATGTCTACATAAATTTATTAACGCCCACTATTTACTTGATCATGTTTAAAGACTAATTGACAAATATCACCTTGGTGATATTTTAAATCATACATTGTTATTATTATTGTGTAGAATAAACTGCTGTGATTGGCACTGAAATTCCATATTAGTTTGTTTATTAGATATATCACACAGTGAAACAGTACTATTTGCTGGATGACAAGGTTTCGAACAAAATTCACTTATTGTTCATAATCATATCAATTGTATTCACACGACTTTGACATTTGAGTTTTATAGTTTTCTTCGTTCTCTCCTATTCGTTGTCGTAGGGGTAGTAGAATTTTCCAGATATCCGAGTGGACAGGTGTTGAATCATTCCTATTACACGTGTTTGCAGTTGATTCGATAAACAAAGCTTCTGTTACCAATCTCTCCCTATACCCTGTGACATTAGATTTTAAAACTGTCATCTTATCCCATCCTATTGTATGGTTGTGTGTGACTGCATGTAGTGCTATAACCGAGTAAGATAAGAAATCTAGAGAATAGTTCATCTATAGCACTACATGCAATTACGCACACAGCCATACAATAGGATGGGATAGGATGACAGTTTTAAAATCTAATGTCACAGGGTATAGGGAGAGATTGATAACAGAAGCCATGTTTATCGAATCGACTGCAAACACGTGTAATAAAAATGATTCAACACCTGTCCACTCGGATATCTGGAAAATTCTACTACCACAACGACGACAAATAGGAGAGGACAAAGAAAACTATAAAACTCAAGTTTCGAAGTTGTGTGATTATAATTGATGAAATGATTATGAACAATAAGTGAATTTTGTTCGAAACCTTGTCATCCAGCAAATAGTACTGTTTCACTGTGTGATATATCTAATAAACAAACTAATATGGAATTACCCACTACCACAGTGCCCAAGTTTTACACATATATTAATATGACACTGAAATATAGACATTTCTGGTGACGTGTGTGTGTGCCGTCAGTTATATTGTACGGGCTGGGGAAGAACAGATAGCTGTCGTATAGTGTTGTTGATGGCGTAGTCGAGCAGTATTCATGATTAGCCTATCCGTGTTCAACTAGGCATCCCTATTTTCAACTCAACGTATTACGAAATATAACAGTGATGAAAAATATAATAGAATAGAATAACAGGATTGTTTAACTCACTTGATGCAATTTCTTTCAATATAGTTTCTGTATCACTGTTCACTGAATGTTGAGTAAGATGTGAATTGAATGTCACTGTAATACAAAATATAGAAATTATAAAATGTTAAGAGGCATTTATGAAAATTTAATTCCTTTTAAGTTATACAATGTGTTGAGTCGAGTTTATTACACATCAGCGGGATGTTATTACCATCCTCTTGAGTTCCAAGTTGAACATATAGCATCAATGTTACATCCGCATTTCACTCTACCATCTGTAATCTTTTAATTAGCTGTCTACACGATTGCTCACCACTTTTCATCCCTTCCACACAACACGATCTCCTCAATGTCATCATCAGTTCGATACCCAAATTGTCGTTTCTGATTCACACCTTCTACTCACGGGTCTGACAGATGATGTCACTCAACACTTTCGTCAATGTTTGTCCAATCCATCTTCGCTTTATTCTGTGTGTGAGTATTTGTAGTTTAGGCAGTTGATTCGTCGGCAGAGTTCTTTTTTGAAGTCTGTTCTTTTTGGTTCCGACCACTCATTTGATCTTCAGTATGGAGCCAGGAAAGAAAGCAGTTGTCGATGAAAGTATTCAGCATACAGTATTTGCAATGACTTAATTGCCATGGCAACTTATTGAAGATGGCCAAGAAAAATTTATAGAAGGCTGATTAATGAAGGGAGAATATTCTCTTCTGATAACTCCCTTCTTCATCAGGTTCTGCATTTATATGACAGTAAGAATTAAAGAAATACTGTCTGTCATTAACGACATTAAGGACGTTTTAAATCACAGTGATTCAATAATGTTGACGGTAAACTGAATATCAAATAATAATAATAATAATTTGCTTTATTCCAGAAACAGTACTAGTGGTACAATGTGGAATTTTCAGCACATATCTACAATATTTGCATCTAATTTTGTCAAACATTTAAAATAAGTATTAAACAAACAAAAAATAAATCTGAAGACACCAACAGCAAAAAAAAATAAACAGGATAAACACAAAATAATTATAAATGCGAAAAAGTATCAAAGTCTACCAAAGGCTAATGCAGTGTTTGTGGTGGTAGTGTGAGTAATCCTGAATAATACAAAATTTTTTAAGGTGGTGACTATGGCGTTCACAACCAATGATTGTCAGTTTAATATTGCCAAAAAGTATAGAAAATAAGAAAAAATCAACCACAAAATCTAATAATTACATGATGGTTAATGACAGGACAATTTTGTAATACTCATAGTGCTAATAGAGTCGGAACCAGTGGATACACAATAGAAGGAATATAGTAAAGTACAAAAAAGGAAGCCAATGTTAATATTTTAGGTAGCTAAGTATGTTTAAGAAGGAGTTCACCATAGAATACAAAATAAGAGAGAAATAAAAGAGCCTAAAATTATGTTGTTAATAACAAAGCAAGTCATAGGTTTCGCGCTTAACATTGTCTCTGTCGCTTAGATCACGGGCCAAGTATGGTATCGTTGAGTTCCTGTACTTGGTTGTACGAGCATATATTATTTTATACCGATTTCTGATTCTACTTGATGAGATACAAGGCAAGAGTTGGGTGTGAATAGAGGTAGTGTTGGGGGTCGGAGAGTATGGTTTTACACCATTTTTCGCATGTATTCAGATGCCTATCAACTAAAGTAGTGACGAGCTGATGAGTTTTACACCACTAGTTCTACTGACTGCCTTCTACATCCTTCTCAGGATGGTATAGTCCTTTTTCAGTAGACCAGGAAAGACTAATGGGGAGCAGTAAAGTAGAATAGGTAAGATACAAGAGTTGACAAATTGTGAAAGTAGAGGTTGGGTGATTCCTGATTGTCTAAGATTCTAAATGTAGTAGGTAAGACAGAACACTTTCTTAGAAATCGTTAGGATATGAGATGTCCAAGTAAGGTCGGAAGATAGAACTAGACCGAGGTATTTAGCATTAGACTTAGTTTCAATTTTAGTCCCCTAAGGGTAGTGACACAGTGCACTAGGGTAGCATTAGTGACTGGCTGGCTGGATGCACCCGTTTCCTTTGCACACACAAAGTTCCGGTTGATTTAGACAAATTGCGCTATGTCCTCTGCTGTTTGCAGAGTTCAGTGTTTAAAGGCATTTAGTAATTTATTGGATAGAGAAAGACTCTTCAATGTTAGCTAGCTGTGTGGACTGTTTGGACGAGGTGACCAATTACAGAACTCTTAATGGTTTGAACAAAACCTTTATTTAACCACACTGGCAGATGTGTCCCCCAACAAGAAAAATTGTGTTCCTAGAACAACCATCTGGTTTTCGGTGTGTCCATCTGGTGAAATCCATGTCGCCTTGTATATGTCCCTGTGTTTGAACACACTGCCACCAATCACCAAATCATTGAAGGCGCAGAAGTCTGAGAAGAGTTCACCATTTTCGTTCATTTCACCGAGGGCCTCGCGACCCATGGTGAGTTCTCTTCCTGTATTGTCTCCTCCCAGTTTCGCATTCATGTCATACATCAGGATTTTGATATCGCTCTTTGGGACGTTGTCCATCACTGTTTGTAGTTGACTGTAAAAATCCTCCTTCTTCTCTTTTTCTAAGACGTTTGGAGGCGCGTAGCATTGAATGATTGTGACCTTCTTTCCTTTTGAGTTGAACCTGGCTGTCATTATCCTGGAGGAGATTGGTTCCCACTGCATGAGAGCTTTAGCCGCTGTTGGTGACATCATGATGGCTACTCCCTCGGTGTGCTCGTGATCGTCCTCTTGGTGACCGGAGTAGATTATTGTCTCTCCAGTTGGTAGTTGGTACCTTCCACATCCGTTGCATCTGCTCTCACATTCATCAAACTGAAACCAATCTAGAAATCTTCGTCACTCAGCATCAACAACAAAATTCGGATTTTCAATACAAACGTCAAGTCAGTTCTTCTATATGTACGGATCAGAAACTTGGCGGATCACAAAGAATATTTCCAACAGCCTGTTGCAGACCTTTATCAACAACTGTCTTCGTTCTATACTCAAGATCAGATGGCCGCCGGAAAGAATCACCAACAAGAAACTATGGAAAGGAACAAAACAATAACCGATCGCTCAAAAATATGCAGGAGAAAGTGGAGATGGATTGGACCGAAAGGGAAGCAGCGAGTGGGACGTCCAATGGTGACATGGAGGAGATCGTGTGAGGAGGAGTTGAAACAGTATGGATTAACATGGATGCAGGTGAAAAGTACAGCAGACACAGAAGCAAGTGGAGGCGTGCAGTCGAAGCCCTATGTTCCACTAGGAACCCAAGGGAACAATAATAATAATATAGAGCAACCCTCAATATAATGAGGGGCAGCTGAATTAATAAATACAATTAGAGGTGTAAGAATGTTGAAAATACTGCTCTTAATACATATAATCCTGCTCCAAAAATATGGTGGAGACATGTGAATGACACTTTCACAGGGTTAAAAACAGAACATAACTCTCGTTTCTTCACACACATAAACTCATTAGTAAATGGAAATAAAATTCACATTTGAATCAGAAAATGAATAAGGAGAATTAGCTATGATAACAGGTTGTAAAATAAATTGAACTGAAGAAGGTAAACTACACACTAGCATTTATAAAATGTCAACGCATTTTAATTAGTATTTAGACTTTAATTCACCTCTTCCGTTATCTGTGAAGGTAGGCTTAGTTAAGTGTTTCAAACAAACCGAGCCATAACAACACTAATTAGTGCATCAAAAGGCCTAAATAATGAAATAAAACAGATAGAAGAATAGCTAGTTGGTGTTAAATAACTAACTATCCTATAAAATTCATTAGGAAGATCAGAAACGGTCAAAAGCAAAATAAAAATGATAGCGAAACTAATAATGATTACATAAACAAGAAAGAATATAAGGCATCCACAGTTTTACAATAAAGGGAGAGGACATCTGAGACCCTACGTAGGATTCTTAATAAAGCAGGAATTAGGGCAGCATTCAAACCTACAAACCCACTCAGGTAGGACAACCTCTGTGGGTTAAAGGACTATATTGACTTCGTTAGACATACAATATAATTTAAAAAATACCTTCCAATAACTGTGAGGGAAGTCAACAACATAGGTCAGACCAGAAGATCGAGCGGGGGTAGTCAGATTGCCTGTCAGAGCATTAGAATTTAGCTAAGTGTAGAATGATTGATCCGGTGAAGATAAGTAATTTAGAAAAAAAGCTGAGCAGTTGCACTGCATGCATTAACACATGCATTCACACAATAGGGCGGGACACAGTTAAAATTCTAAAAAAGCGATCTAGGTAGATAGAGGGAGAGAAAGGTTGATTATTGGAATCTTTGTTCATAGAATGATCTACATCCAACATGTGCAACAGGAATGAATCTCCACTCATACCAGAAATATGGAAAATATTACTACCAGTCATCAGAGGAAAAGATGAGAAGTAGTGGAACTATATACAAACGAAGTAGGAAAGTCGTGGGGAGTAGTGTCTTGAAATGATTATGAGCAGTAATAAATTGTTATATATGTCCAAACCAAGTTCACTTTTAACAGTTTGAAAAAATTTGGGTATTGGGTATATGATATTCATGATAATAAAGGTTTTTGTATTTTCCAATGAATGAAAAACAAACGATATTGTCGTTCTGATTGACGTTTCGCTATTTAGTGCTAATAGCTTTATCAAAGTATTATTAAACCGGAATTTACAAAATCTCGGCCTATACATATATAGCAGAGTTAAGAGGTGAGAAAATAGACAAGTTAGGTCAAGTTAAAGGACATATTGAAAGTTAAAATAACAATGAAGATCACTAAACCAAATAACAAAGGTACTAGTACATCTGTTATGGAAATCATAAAGAACGTCTAATATCAGAAGCCAGCCATTCATATCAAGTGGAATCCAAATTGTCTGAATAGGAATGATGGACTAAAACAGAATCTGACCTGGTTACAACATCCCTGCCCTCCCCCATGAAGTGACAAAATCAACACGAATGTGATAAGCACACGCTGTTTTATAATTTTACACACTAATCAAATCCAACAATCTATACTTGGTTTTGTTATCTTTACCAATTGGCCAA